CACGTGCCAAGCGTATTTGGGATGGCCGTGTAAACAGCCAGGCGCGCCTCAATGGAGAGGTTTGTTTTTGTTTGGCATCGGGGGAAGAGGATTCCCCTGGAAGACCCCGAAACCGATGTCCATGTCATCGGCACCATGTTCGCTCCGATGTTCCACGAGGGTGTTGATTGCGCCGGAAACTGTCCTAAAAATGCTGCGTTCTCTTTCTGCCCTCCCCCCGTTTGCTCTTGCTCCTGCCTGTTCCCTCCTCCTCCCCCCTCCTCCTCGTCGTCCTCCTCCTCCTCTTCTTCGTATCATTTCCCTTCCTTTTCTGGATTCGCCTGGAAGCTCCCGAGAAGCGATGTCCATATCAGCGGCACCATGTTGCCACGTCTGGCCCGATGGTCCACGAAGGTGTGGATTGCGCCGGAAGCTGTCCTACAAATGCTGCTTCTCCTTTGCTCTTGCTCCTGCCTGCCCTCCTCCTCCTCCTCGTCGTCCTCCTCCTCCTGCTCGCCCTCTTTGCCGTCTCCCTTCCTCTCGTGCACGGCAGGCGCGTGCTTTTTTGTTTGCGGGGTCATTATGTCTGTCGGGCCTGCAAAAAACTGCGCACGGGGCTGCGCTCAGACGATTTCGGCGACCTTGCGCCGGGCCAAGCGCGTCCAGAGAGCCCGACGCTCTGCGAAATACAGTGCGCGCAATGACAGCACGAAGCCATCGCGGATATCGTCTGGCCAGCGCGAGGCACGGGCGCGCTTTCGCGACCGAGATAAATTGGACCCGATCTCGCAAACCATGCTCTCTTCGGCAAAGCCGCAGCTACGCAGGTGAGCCATGCCGAGCAATTCGGCCGCCCGCTTGCCTGTCGGCCCCCACTGGGATGCCATTTCTGCGAACGCGGCGTCGCACATTAATGCATCGCGCCGGTCCAATGTGTTTTGCATGCGGGAGGATGGCGTCTTCTTCTTCTTGCCCTTGAGCCCGCTGGGGAACCCGCGCGATCCTAGCAAAACGCGTGTCCCAGGGCCAGGATATATCTGCCTCCTTTCGCAGAGCCGCGTGATGATAGACGTGCCTGAGAGCTTGCGCGACAAAGCATTCCGGTGGAGCGCATTGAGAATCTGCATGGCCACAAACGGACCTACCTGGCATGGCAGCGTGGATCCGCGGCCCGCTCGCGCAGGCCCCCGCGAGGGCGGCTTGGAAAACATGTCTAATGAAAAAAGGGAGCCGTGCTTGGCATTGCGTAGCTTTCTGAGGGGCATCGGGGAAGGGGTCACGGGGCCTTGTGGGATGCTCGCCATAGCGAGCGGGCGGACCACGGAAAGATCAGCGTGGGGGGTTCTGGGTGTGGGACGCGTCGGCGGCAGCCTTCCGTATGCGATTTCAAATGGGGTCTTACTAAGCAGCAATTGTCGCAGTCGTTCCAACCGAGGCAGAACCAGGACAAATTTGCGAGGGATGTGAACGCCGTCGAGGACCGGCCGTTGGATATGCTTCCAACCATTCCTGCGTCGAATTCGCAGCTTGATGTACCGGACGCGAGGATGTGCCAGCGGAGTCTCATTCGCAAAAGATCCTATATTGTACCCGGTTCTTGCTTGTTTGCGGCTGTGGAGAATCCAACAAATAGCCGCGGCTTGGAGCATCATGTATATATCCATGTTCTCAGATGTGAGCACGGCGGCGATTAACGCATCTCGAAGGCTCTGGGCCGACAGGTAAGACGAAAGGTGCTGTCGGAACCTCTCCACCAAACGTGGAAGTTTCACCTGGCGCGGTTGCGTGTGCACATAAGCGTATGCTATCAAGAACATGGCGAAAAAAGACCCGTGGTTGAGCCATACCTTACAAACGAATATGTTGAGCAGAACTTGCGCGTGAGACGACGCCGCGCCAGTGACGATGTCCAGGAATATGTTGGTATAGTCGAAGCCTGATGCATAATTGTTGAACCCGTAATTCTTGATGTCCAGAAGGCCTTTGGTGCTTCGGCGCACGAACTCAGATGGCGACTCGAAAGTGTGGCCTCGGCCTCGCACCCGAGGGCGTGGACCCGACTGTGGCCCGCATGGGACGGTAAGAGCATTCATGGGCCGGCTGCAGGTTTGTAGCACGCAGCAGAAAGGAAATTCGTGAAACCCGTGGATGTCGCACCAAAGTTGCACCAGCTTTACCCATCGCATATTGTCTAAACAACTGAACAGAGGTTGTGAGACGGGGACTTCGCCACAGAAGCGCTGATAAAACTTAGCGTCCGACGGGGTTGCTGAAAAGGTTCGGGCAACAGTGCATACGGAAGAAGCCACAGGCACCCCGTCTCCAAACACGGACGCGTCTGACTCCGAGTCGGAGTCCGAAGAGGAACGTGCCGCCCAGCACGATGTGAAACAAAGAATGCAGAATGCCAGAAGTTGGAGGCGCCGCGAGGCGCGCATTGAGCACGAGCGGGGACGAACTGACTAGCAATCCGCGCCGGAGCCTGAGCAAAAATGGCTACGGAGAATCATGAGGGGGGAATGGGCACAGGCGTCTGGTGGACACACCGCGACGATGTTCATTGTTACATGTTCGTCCTCTGGTGGCTGATGTTGGGCTCGGGGGCTGTCAAATACCGACTCCAGATGGGCCGACGGTCGTAAGGCAGGGGAAGGCAAGTAATTAGCCCGGAAGCTGTCCAGAGAATGGGCCTTCGAACAAAGGGGTTGCACTCGTCGGCGCTGGCAGGGACCGACGCACGTGTCAGTGATTGGGGCTTCGAACAAACAGGTTGCACTCGTCGGCACAGGCAGAGATCCACGCGTGTGTGAAAACAGAATCTTTGAACGTGTATGTTTCGTTGTTGCGCGTTGTTCGTATTAAGGCGGCCGTAGGGACGTGGGTGTCGTTTCGGGCGTCGAGGTCGGGGCGACCTGTCGTTTCGAGCGTCTCTCCCGATGATGATCCGAACGGCCCCGCAGGGGCCCCCGATGCGCGGTGAAGAGGTTAGAAGAGGTGTCGAAGACAGACTCGAGAAGCTCCCCAGAGGCACGGGAGGCTCTCAGAGGCCGCAACGAAACTCCGAGATGCCTCCAAGAGCCCCTCTGAGGCACCCCAACAGACCGCCATGTTCATTGAGAAGGTCCTGACCAACAGCCTAGGCACGGTGGCGCGGGGGTGGCCGAGCGCCACCAGATAATTTCAACCATCGTCGCAAGGTCTTAATCCTTCTGGAGGTCGGCGGGGCGTAAGCCAAATCGTATAATCTTCCCGGAAGCTGTCCCCGCGAATGCCGATTGACGTGTGTATGTGTGCATGCACGTGTGGTGCAGGCATCTGTGTGCGTGGACGTTGAGAGAGATATGCAGACAGACTGGTGAGCAGGGAAGGGTCCGAAGAGGCTTCCGAGACGGCCCCAGCGAGCCCTGAAGGCCCCGGAGCCTCCAAGAGGGCGCAAGACACTTGCCAGATGGCCCCAAGAGCTCTCCAGGAGGGCCGCCGAGGTATCCCAAGAGACCCTGATATTAATTCAAGAGGTTCCTGACCGACAGCCCAGGCACGGTGGCAAGGGTTTCGCCGAAGGCCACCGGGTAAGTTCCGCGGCGTAGCAAGGGCTCACTCTTCGGGGTGTCAGCGGAATGGCGTAAGCCAGTGGGTATAATCTCCCTGGAAGCTGTCCCTGGAAGTCTGGCTGATGAATATATGTGTGCATGCATGTTTGTAGCATCGAACTGCGTGGTGGACGTAGCGACGGGTATGTCCCAGAGACCCCTCGGAGGTATCTCAACAGACCCTCATGTTCATCAGAAAGGTCTTGACCATGAGGCCAGCGACGCTCGTGCGGGTTTGGCCGAGTGCCACCAGATAATTTCCATCATCGTCGCAAGTCCTGAAATCCTTCTGGAGGTCGGCGGAACGACGGAAGCCAAATAGTATAATCTCCCCGGAAGCTGTCGCCGCAAATGGCGGCTGATGTGCTCATGTATGCATGCAGGTGTGGTGCATGGATCTGGGTGCGTGGACGTTGCGAGGGATACGCACACAGACTGGTGAGCAGGGAGGGATTCAAAAGGCCTCCAAAACGGCCGAAGAGCCCCGAGAAGGCCCCAGAACCTCGAAGAGGACGCAAGACACTTGCCAGATGGCCCCAAGAGCTGTTCAGGAGCACCCTCCGGGGCACCTCAAGAGACCCTCATATGAAGTGAAGAGTTCCCGACCGATAGCCCAGGCACGGTGGCAAGGGTGAGGTTGAAGGCTATCAGGTAATTCCACGGCCGTCGCAAGGTTCCACTCCTTCTGGGTGTCAGCGGAATGGCGTAAGCCAATTGGTATAATCTCCCCGGAAGCTGTCCCTGGAAATCTGGCTGGTGGAATGTATGTGTGTCCCCGCCGCCGAAGGCGAGGAGCAGATGACGGAGAGGCCCCAAAGCACGCGATGGGTTCCACGATGCCGAACGGGCACGTTAAATACCACACACACACACACACTGTTTGATCCAGCCTTGGCCGATCCCGTTCGCTGGAAGCCGCGTGGCGGGTCACCGTTGCAGGCAAGCACCGCAGGAAGGGGGGGAAGTGGAGGGGGGAGGAGGAGGAGGAGGAGAAGGAATCGTGACCAGCGTATTCTATGTGGGTGCGGGGGTTGGGGAGGTGACGGGGGCTTTCTAGTATTGTCTCTTGGGGCTTTCGCGGGCTTGGGGGCATTTGCGGGCCGCTGGGAGCCTGATGGTGTTTCGTGGGGACCCATCGGGGTGCCGGGGTGCTCGGGGATTGGTGACATGCGTTGGGGGCCGGTTGGGGTCTCCCTAGGAGTTTGGGGAGGTTCGCGGGGACCCAGGAGAAACGACGCGTCGAAGACGGAGGGGAGGGGGGAAGGTTGCGGGGGCGACGGCGGAAGGGAGAATGACAGGAGAGATGGGGAGGGAGAAGACGATGACGAGGACGAGGACGAGAAATATGTGTTTTTGGGCTGCGCGCGGGGTGAGACGAGTCGAAACACGAGGGCCTCTGGTCCTCTGGTCAGCGGGAGGACGCAGGCCTCTTCATGGCTGGGCGAGTCGCCTGGAACTCTTCGTGGGTACGGCCAACAACAGCTCAGGCCAAACAGTGTTCTTCACGATGGCCCAGCCGTCTGTGTCCACGTGGTCGGGCGAAGCGAGCGCACGAATATCAGAGCGGTGCCGCACCCGGGTGAGGGCGGCATACAGATGGCCGTGGCTGAACGGGTTGTGGCGCACGTCCAGCACCATCCTGGATAGGGTACGTCCTTGTGCAGAGTTGTAGGTGGATGCATAAGCTGGTCGTAAAGGGTACTGTCGACGAGCCATCGTGGAAGTGCCGTTGACGATCTGCCATCGAAAAGTGATCCGTGGGAGGGGGAATGCCCGACCGTCGAGGGTCTCTATCAGCACGTGGTGAGTGTGGACTTTGCGAAGTATCACGGGGACCCTGTTCATGAGGCGGTCTTTTGGGTTGAAGTTCCGCATCAGTTCGTAGAGGGCCCCTTCCACGAGGTGCAGACAGTGGGGGGGAGCGCCGGGGGAGGTCTGGAGGTTGAGGAATTCGGCGGTGATGTGTTGTTCAACTGCTCCCGCGGCATCGATGTCGAGCGTGTCCGCGCTGAGGGCACGATACGAAGGGCACTGGTAGGTGCGCACCAGCAGGTTCAGCATGCGTTCGTTGTAGGCGTCCACGAGAGAATTGAGGACGGCGAGAACTTTGGATTCGGCGCACTGGTGCGGGTCATTCGGCGCGGGGAAGCAGTACTTGAGGGCGTCGTCTTCGGATGGGACGGTGGCGATGTCGTGCAGCTTGATGTAGCCAGGGCTGCCTGTATGGTTGGTTATCGTCGGCGCGTCACCGGAGCCGATGGTGTCCAGCCATGCTGCGAAATGCCGATCGTCTGCCTGGCGGTGCACTCGGTCCAACGTGAAAATGGCGAACTGGGGCCATGAAGCCGAGGAGCGGACGCTGCTGGAGACGATGGATTGCCGAGTCCCTTTGGGGACGACTGGTGGGATTTGCCTGAAGTCCCCGTATCCGACGAAGGTCTTCGGGACGTATGTGTCCGGGTAACGATCGGCGAGTGCGCGCAGCAATGCAATAACGGCGTCCCACGCTGCTTTTCTTGCAGAAGGGAATTCATCCCACTGGATCAAAGTGGCCTTGCAAATTGTAATGGCTTGGGCCGACGTCATTGATAAAGAGCACGTGAGTTCGGCGTCGTCGTGCACTGGAATGGCGAAGGCGGAATGTGCCGTGGCGCCGTGAGGCTGCAAGAGGGCGGCCTGCCCTGTGGCAGCCACGTTGAGTACCTGGGGCCCATCGGCTTCGAGAGCTTGCGTGAGGCAGGTAGCCAACGTAGTCTTCCCTGTGCCCGCGCGGCCTTCCACAAACACGAAGGCTTCGCGACGCCGGTGGCAGCAAGTGAGAATGTGGTCGTAAGCTGTGCGTTGCCCGGGGCATTGGCGAATGCGGGCGAGCAGAGCGGTCGTCGGGGTGGGGGTAGGCGTTGTAGTATCTGAGGGGGGCCCTGCGGTAGCGTCGGCGGGAGCCCCGTCAGTGATCTCGCCCAGCTTCCAATTTTCGTCGCTGTTGCCGTTCTGCAGCCAGGTGGCTCGCAGCAGGGCCATGAGATTTTTCTGGGCGGCGCGGCGCCGAGACCTCGGTCCAGGAAGCCCTTCATAAGCGGTCGTTCGTACTTGCGGTAGAGAGACACGGGGGCGGCATCTTGTTCGAGTAGAACCAGGAACGCGAAGCGAAGTTGGGCTGCAGTGTACCGGAGCGCAATGAGCTCGTCGAGCACGGCGTGGGCTTCGTCGTCGCGGACGAATTGGCCCGTGGCCCGTAGCGTCTCCTCGTAAGTAGGATACACCTTGCCGTTGTGCGTCCTGCAATCGGCAAAGGACGCCTTGGGAAAGTTCAGCAGGATGTGTCGGAGGTAGAAGACGTCGCCTTGCTTCGGGAACTTCATCTCGAGGCGGCACAACGGGGGCTCGCCACGCAGCCTCGGGTACACGAAGAACTGTTTTGGCGGAGGGGCGCGGTCCAACACGGCAGCGGCCTGCGATGGGCACGATGGGGACGTCATGTAGGTTTCAAAATACTCGTGGTAGGCCAATGCGTCGAATGGTGGACCCGCGGGTCGGTAGAAGTACCGTTGAAGTGGTGACACGTGGGCTTCAAGCGCATTGGCCTCCTCTCCTTCCGCGAAAACAATCCATTGTTGTCCGGGCAGGTGCACGGGCAAGCAGACGACGTGCGGCCATCTGTCGTAGGTGTTGTATCCGAACATGCGCCATGCTGCCTCCGTTGCGCACAGATATCTGCCTTTGAGCCACTCGGAAATCTCGTCGGCAACCTTCGCATCTAGCGTGACGTCGTAGCTCGTCTTGGAAGGGCCTTTGAACAAATATTTGTATAGGTATTCGAAGAGTTCCACCGTCGCTGCGTACTTGACGTTGGCGTGCCCCTCCCAGAGTTGAAGCACCACGGGGCTGTATTCGACGATGAGCCGATTGAGGCAGACGTCGTGTTTCCCGTACATGGCCCGGCCAGATCGGCAATTCGGGCAGTGGCCGCCGCATGGTCGCCGCCGGCGGTGGGGGTAGCCGCGCGCGTCGAAGACCGTGTCGTCCGAAAACGGCCAGGGGCATCCTTTCACGCAGTCTTGAGCGGGGTCTTGAGGGTGGCAAGAATGGTTGCAGCTGTGGACCATGTGGCGAAGGACGAGTTCGCGGAGTCGTCCGTCTTCGCGGGGTAGCTCACAGGAGATGAGAAGGTCGACCTCGTCCGGAGTGGCGGGCGGGTTGAGGACAGCCAGAGCGATGTGCGCATGTGGAAGGCCGCGGAGCTGGTACTCGATCACTTTGATGAGGTAACGGCGAGCCCCGCAGAAAGAATCCTTCAAGAAAGCAACGATCTTCTGCAGCCGGTCGTGAAAGACGCGGACGACGATGTCGGGTCTGTCGGCGGCGGTTTGCCCGCGGTGCAATTGACCCGCAATCTCTGGCCAGTGGGGGTTGCAAGTCAACGTGATGAAGAACGACGGCGGGCCTTTGCGTCGCGCCAGCTCCAGGGCGTCAACGCGCAGTCGGCGAAGATGGCGAGGTGATCCTGGGACGCTCGATGGCAGAACGTACTGTTTGCCAACCGTTCCGGCCTTGGCGGGGTCGTTGGCGAGCACCTCGCAGAGCTCCTGGCGAGTGGCGCTACGCTGTCGTTGTTGATGACGGATGTGGGAGAACCTCTCGTCTTCCATGCGCGTGAACATGTTGATGAGCCACTCGTTGAGCAGCCGTCCGCAAAGGTGCATGTGGGGGAGTCGGAGCAATTGTTGGCGATACCACCACATCTGTGTTACCTTGTGGCCGGTGGCGCTGATGACGTCTGTACTCCAGCCGCGGCCGCCGAACGGGTACCACAGGGGGTAACTCAAGGGTTCGTAAAACGGGCTCAGCGGGTGCAAGTAGGACGGCGTGTCGTGGCGCTTGTATGTGAAGACGATGGACCTTTTGTTGCGGTCAGGGGTGGGGTCGACGTCCAGTATTCCAGCCACTTCGTTGACTCCCTCGTGCCACTCCAAGATGGTATTCGCGTCTGCTGCTCGCTTGGACTGGCGGGCCAAACGCTGAATCATACGCATGTGGGCATTTCTCGGCACTATGAGCTGTTCGAGTTGTTTGGTGGTCTGCTTGTTGAGGCCGTGCGCCGCGGCGGTGACGAAGCGGTCTTGCGGATCGTGCACCAGGTATCGCAGAGGGACCTGGTCTGCCATAGAGAATACGCGTCGGTAAATCGTCCCATGGATACGGATGTTTGCTGGCCGGCGGGCGTCTCCGAATCGAAGCTCTTTGTCTCCAGTGCTGCACTGGATTTCGTGTTGTGCGAGGGCGAAGAGGCTGTTGTACCGCCTGGACTGCGCCGTGAAGCCAGTGTACCGAAGCTCGTTGGTGGTGGTGTCGTACATCTTGTCTCCGCGGTCGTCTGTGAGCGGCCAATGGGAGGCGAAGATGTCGCAGAGGGGTTTGTCGGGGCATTGGAAATAGGTGTCAAAGTTGACGAAGTACTTCCCGGCATTACAACAGAACGTTTTGGACTCCGAGTTGAACAAAAGTGCGCCGCAGTGGTCGCATTGGGTGGACATGTCCCCCAAAGAAATGGAGGCGAGGGTCGACGGTGGGCGGCCGCCGTCGGGGGCGGGCGCGGCACAGTTGAAGCAAACTGGGCCAACCCGCTTCGGGGCCCGCTGTGGAAACATGTCGGTGGGCCAGCAGACGCCGCACCTGGAGCAGACGATGTCGGTATGCTGTCTAAGTGCCCCGCTACGCTGAAGCGCGGCTCTTGTGCAGGTCAAACATTTGCGGGTACTTCGTCGCCACTGGTCCGGCGCGTACTCAGCCTGCGCGAGCTCTGTCCCGCAGCTGGCGCAGGGTCGTAGAAGTACAGGGGCATTAGCGGTGGAGCAGCACTCCTTGCATCGGGCTGTCCGAGATGAAGAGTGCAACTGCGTGGCGGAAAAGGCAGACGTGTCCAAGCATCGATGGCATTGCGTGCAAGTCAAGGTTGAGCGCTTCGGTGGCATTTGACGGCCGTCACGCGATAAGGCTTGAGCCTGCAGCAGCGGCCGGCATGGCAGGAGGGACCATGGAGAGTGCGGGGGAGCGGTGTGGGGAGGTGGGAGGGAATGGGCAGGGGTGGTAAGAAGGGAAAGAGGAGAGCCGGTAGGCTCTGAAGACGGTCTCGGAAGGATACGGACCACCATTTGAGTATGAAGGCTAGATGAACATGTTGGGGCGCTTGTGGTATTTTGGAGGTGGAAGTCCGTCTGGGATTCGCGGTGCGAGGTAGCGTTCGGGAGAGGCGGTTAGGAAGAGCAGGAAGGAGAGCTGGTAGGCTTTTGTGGGAGATCGGGGGTGGTTCGGAGTGGCACTGGGGCCTCTTGCAATATGTAGGGGGGCTTTGGGGGCCTTTACGGGGCTTCGGGGCGTTCCAGGGGACCTCTTGGGGTCTCTTGGGAGCCTTTTGGGGGCCTCTTGGGGGCTTTGGGGGGTGTTTTCAGAGCCTTCTGGAATCCTTGCAGGTGTTCTTGGGGGCCTTTGGGGGCCTCTTGGGGCCTGTTGGGGACCTTTTGGGCCTCTTTGGGGGCTGCTTGGATGCCGTATTGAGGCCGCGGAGGCTGATAGGAGGCGATCAAGTTAGAAGGCGGAAATTATCAATTTCCTATAGGTTTTTGATCGATCTCAGCCTCTGGGGGGCTGTTCGGGGGGCGCTTGAAGCCCTTGTGGGCTCGTTGGCTGCCTATGGGGCCGTCTTGAGGTTATCTTGAGCCGTCTTGGAGCGTTTTTGGGCCGTCTCGGCAATTGCTCGAAGCCATCAAGGGGGTCTGGGGGGCCGAAGTCGAGGTCCGGGAGGCCCCCGTGGCGGTCCAGGAGGCTCCAGTGGGCCGCCAAATCCTATTGGGGGGGGGGGGACCCTTCGGTGTCAGTTTCCTGGTGTGAGATTATTAAGATAGGAATATATACACATCGATCCCTCCCTCTCTCCCTCCCTGCCTCTCTCTCTATGTATACATACCGTGTCCGTGCACTCGGCACTGAATGGATTGCCTTCAAGCCCATTCGAATCTAAAAACTCTTTAGTACGGAGTGTTGCACATGTTCTTCAAGGACCCCGGACCAAGAATTTTCGGGCGGTCCTGGGCGCGCCTAGGCGCTCTCGGGGCTCCCCGCGCAACTTTTCCAGAAGGCTCGGGAGCGTGGCCACGTAAGATGGCCCCAGAGTGCCGCATTGGGGCTATCTCGAGGGTCTCTTGGGCCGACTTGGAGGCCCATGGGGACGGACAAAGATGTCGACTCAATTTCTTGGACGCCCAAGATTGGTGTAGGAGTTGCAAGATGGCCCCCAAGAGGCCGCCTGGAGGCGCCCAAGGAGGGCGTTATCGAAGATATCTGATGGCATGGCGCATATGGCCAGCATGCATACACAAGCCAATCTATATCTATTGCACAAGAAGGGCTTCGTTGGCTGCCCTATGGACAGGTCCGTGGCCCCTTGAGTGCCAAGGCGCCCCCTCAAGACGGAGAGGCCCGTAAGTCTTGCCGAGAGGCCGTTCCGCATACAGGGGCGCACGGCCGCAAGAACCCGTCGCGTCTGAAAATCCGGGCAATTGGGCTTGGCCAGGTAACGGCGAAACCCATCACTGGCCCGAGGGTTCGCGGGTCGCGCCAGGGGGGCCGCAAGGGTCGAGGTCGCGGGAGGCCCCCGTGTCCGGTTCTTCCGTGGGAGGCTCTCTATGGGGTGCAAGGCTCGCCAAATCCATCGTGGCCCGGGAGCGAAGGGCCATGGGATGACCCTTCGGTGATCACAATTGCTTCCTGAGGATTATTAAGAGTAGAGAATATATACGACATCGATCCCTCCCTCCTCTCTCCTCCCTGGTACCGCCACGTCGCGCGGTGGCCCTCCGAAGGCCACGCCAAAGCGCCGAAATGGGGAGGCGCATGCGGTTCTGCCACTGAGGCCTTCGGTGAGCTCCCTATGGGGCATGCCAGTGTGAAGGGTGCGCAATGGGAAACCCGCAGGCGGAACTTGTGGGAGAGGAACTCCAGTTCGCCACCATGCTCCAGGTGCGAGGGGGTTCGGTACTTTGGAGGGGGCTCGAGCCCCCAGGGGAAAGGCTAAAGTAGGCCGGAGGGGTCTGAGCCGTACAGCTGTGCAGCTGGGGCAACGTCCACGGAGAGGGTGTAATACGTCTTAGGGGGCAGGAGGAGGGAGGGGCAGAAGCGGGGAAGGGGGAAGGACGGGCGAGGAGAGGCGCGGCAGCCACGGGGAAACAAGTGCGGTCACACCAGGGTTGGGGTGGGGAAACAAACGCAGGGCCATGCCGCCTGCCTGAGGCCGCCGGATCGTCAACCTTGGGCCACGGCCGGTCGGCGGGTGTGCCTCCGTTCAACGTCGGGCGCATGCGGACTCCTGCCGCTATGCATGCATTCAGGGCCATGAGACCGTGTGAGGGGGTGCCGAAAAAACATCGCGGGGCATGTGGACCCTGCCACTGGGGCCGGCTTCGGTGGAGCGGAATGTTGCCGACCGCCACCCCCGTGAGAGCGGAGGAGCGCGGAGGAGGCTCCGGAGGATGAGGAGGTGAGGCATGAGGAGGACGGAGCGAGGAGCGAGGAGGAGGAGGAGCGAGGAGGAGGAGGAGAGGAAGGAAGGAAGGAAGGCATGAAGCGAATGAAGGACCGCGGGGTGCTGCCTGTTCAAAGCAAGGACCCAACACAGCACAGGATGGTTCGGCCGCCGCGGGGAACAGCACCAGGTGTGCCGTAGATTGATGCAGGTCGCAGCGTATACAGTGGCATACACCGAGATATGCAGATCGCAAAATGCCTGCACATCTGTGCTGTCTTGCCTCGTCCAACGAAAAAGCAAGCAAGGCCCCTGCAACAGTCCTTTCACGATCTCTTCGGGCAGTTGCAAGAAGGGCATGTAGCCAGAGAGGAGAGCGAAGATGACCTCACCGAGGCTCCACTGGTCACATTGGCTTGAGCAGGGCTGTTCCAGGAACACCTCCCCGACGAGGGGGAGACCAGGCAAGACCCTGCTGCCAGGAGGCTCGGCAATGCGTCGCGTGGTGCCACCCCCATTTCCGACAAGCTCATGAGGAATGCTGCTTTGCACTTCTCCTCCTCCTCCTCCTCCTCCTCCTCCTCCTCCTCCTCCTCCTCCTCCTCCTAAATACTTGACATGACCCACTCCCCCAAGTCCCTACCATGCCACGTCCTCGAGCCTCTCCTCTGAAGCTGCCGCCATCCGCGCGAAGAAGCTGCGAAATCGAGTTGGCAAGCGAGGGAGACGGATGCAACATTCAGGAGTGCATGCTGGGCTGTGGGAGGCACACGTGAGGACGCACAGGTGAGGACGAACGGGCTGCCACTAGCTCGCTCTCGAATGTGTCCCGAGAGATGCGCAGTCTGCAATGCCCATGGAGGGGGTACTGATTCTGACTTGGAATAGGGCCACGCCCCACCGACCTCCGAGGAGGTCACTGAGGGGCCTACAGTTATGTTGTTCCCATCTGCTTAAGACCACATCCCAAAATAATTTCGAGCACCCGAAAAAGTGTCAAAAGAGTGTTTCGAAACAGTGTCGGGCGAGTGCTCCCAGGGCCCGACACGTGAAAACCCTCGGGGTTCGGTACTTTGTTGGGGCGCTCGAAATTCTTTCTGGTGATCAAGGCTAAAGTAGGTTGGAGCATCATAAGCCTACAGCTGTGCAGCTGGCGGACGTCCACGGAGGGTCCTCCTCCGTCTTACGCCTGCTCCCCCTGCTCCATTACCTCGGCCCTCCTGAACTCCTCCACTGCTTCTGCAGCAGTGCCTCCCCTCCTCAATCCCACCACACCAGGTCCGACACAACGTGGACCACGCGCTACTCGCAGGTTCCTGATGCCGCGGGATCTCAACCTTGAACGGCGCGGCCCCCTGGCGAAACGGGCCGCAATCGTCCAGCTCTCCTTCGCCCGCGGGCTTAAGTTGCTGCTCTCCTCTCCGCGCCGCCCCTGTCACGACGCCAACAGCTGGCTCCTACTATACGGCGGGCACATTTATATATATATATATGTACACGTCCGCAGGTTTACACCCAGCAATCGCAGCCCGGACTCACGAGGTCCCGAGGCTGCGCCTGGCCCGCGCCACCAACAAGACCCATTGCCCTTCGGGCTGTCAATGGACAGGGGGCTGGGGCTTCCTAGTCATCCGTTGGTGCCGACTGGCCCTCCTGCTCGCCGCGGCGACAGCGACCCTGCCGAAAGACCCCCTGACTCCTGAGGCTAGCATGAAGCCTCGTCTCCGAGCGCCCCCCTTGCAGCCTCTCGGCCTCTGCCTCTGACCCCGGCTGGGACGCGCCGGACGCCTGCAGCGATGGCCCCCCACCAGGCATCCATTGAGACGCCCGATCAAACGCAGAATCTTTCCAACAAGTTTCTGAAACTGCTGAGCGCCATGGGACACTCCAGAGTTTAGAATGCGTTTAGTTACATTTGAAAGCCTTGGGCCCTGGATTTCCAAATCTACAGCCGACTACATACTTCCCAATCAAGGATTTCATGCGTTTCAGAACTCGTATGAGTTTTAAACTATTCTGCGTTATCGTTACAATTTTGCCGATCGTTTATGCCGCAAGACATTGCAACATCACTGTGCCCTGGGCTTCCAGATCTTCAATCCTGAAACCATCTGGGACCTCCTGTGGCCTCATTGGGCCTTCCTTGGGACCTCCTGGAACTTCCTGGGGCCTCCTTGGGCCTCCGGGTTCCACTGGACCCCTCAGTTCCAGGGAGGCTCCGGAGGGTAGGTAAAGAAGCAGGAGGATGATGATGAGGAGGACCGACCAGGCCAAAGCACTGGAATAAACCCTCCCTCCAAGTTCCCTCTCGTCGGCTCCTACAATGGTTCATTTCCACAGGAAAGTGCCCCGTTGGGAAACAACGGTTTGAAGACCCTGAAGCGCGCCAAAATACCTTTCTCGGAACTCAAGGACTACGAATCAAGGTGACTGTTGCGTCTTGGCGAGCCTAAATCGTGCCCAGCACCATCCCCCAGACTTCAACACCCTCCTCAACTCCTCCTCCTCCTCCCTCCTCAATCCCGAACTCCTCCCTCAAACCCTTCTGGTACTCTTCCTATGGGAACCCGTAACATTCTTGCAACTGTTTAATACGAATGCGCGCGGCGCTAAGGCGAGAACCACATTTTGAAAACGAGCCGCCCTCAATCCGCGAAGCTCAGTAATTCTTCAAAGCGAATGCGCGCGGCGCTAAGGGGAGAACCGCATTTTGAAACAGATCCGCCGTCAATATGCGAGGCTCTTGCAATGTTTGTGAAACGAATGTGCGCAGCGCAAGTGCGAGAACCACATTGTGAAAAACCACCTGCCCGCAACTGTTTAAACAAATGTGCGAGGCGCTAAAGCGAGAATCGCGTTTTGGAAACCACCCGCCCTCCATACGTGAAGCTCTGGCAACTTGTTAAGACGAATGTGCGCGGCGCTAAGGCGAGAACCACAATTTGAAAGCCACCCGCCCTCAATCCGTGAAGCTCGTGTACTTCTGTAAGGCGAATGTGCGCAGCGCTGAGGCGAGAGCCACATGTTGAACACCCTCCGCCCTACTTTCGTGAAATTCTTGCCAATTCTCAAGCTTCAGAATCATGAATGGTGAGGAAGTCTCAAGCGAATCGCACGGCCCGCCCTTTCGAACGGCCTTGGGACGCGACCGGGAGGAGTTGCTTATAATGAAAAAGAATGGGGTAGTAGGAGGATGAATCGCCTCCCCTCCCTCCTCTCCCTTCCTCTTTCCCGCCCTCCTCTGCTCACTCTCATCCCTCCCTCCCTCCCTCCCCTCCCTTCCTCCCCTCCTCCCATCCCCCCCATCCGTGCACGATGCCGTGGCTGTGAAGGTAGTTCAGGGCCAGGAGGAGCTGCCAAGCAACCTCGGCTGCCTCGTGTTCCGAGAAGACCTTCTGCGTCTTGATGCGGTCGAACAGTTCCCCTGCGCCAGCTCGGTCAAAAGGGAGGAGGGAGAACGGGGATAGGGGAGAGGAGGAGGAAGGAGGGAAGAAGAGGACCCCCAGGAGGAGGAGGCGGAGGAGGAGGACGAGGAGGGAGGAGGATGAAGGAAAGGGGAGGAGCAGAAGCAATCATGGCAAATCTCGCAAAGGATCCGCGGGGCGACCCCCCTGGCGGCGCCCGCAGGCAGAATTGGACCCGAACGGCGTGCAGCTGCACTGCCGCGCGATTCCACGGGGAGGGTGGGCGCGTCCATCGGAGGGGGCGTCCTCTGGACGAACCTTCCAGAGCTACGTGCAGCTGCATGGAGTGGGAGTCGCAATTGGAGGAGGCCCCCGACATCCAACGGTTGTGAGAAGACGCGACGTCGTGGAACATCTCGGCCAGAATCCCGAGCTCATCTTGGCAATCAATTTCTGGAGCCCGGGACCTCGCCGCGGGACCCGACGTGATTCGCTCACGATGCTCAAATGCAAGGGGACGAAGGAAGAGTAGGTGTTTGAGGGCGAAGCTTGCGCACATGCACCGCCTGGGGAACCCATGCCCCAAGACAAAAAGGGCCGTTGATGTGGATACTCCCGGCCCCCCCTGCGAGGGGAATGGGGAGGAGGAGGAGGGAGGGAAGGGTGAGTTGGAGGAGGGAGGGGAGAAAGGGAGGGGTGAGGGGAGAGAGACTGAGTTGCTTCTAGCAGCATGCGGCGCAAGCACACGCGAAACAGATGCGACATGACTCCACGGCCAACCAAACCACCCGTTCGAGAGGATGTTGGGGGATTAGCCTGCGAGGAGTTGCCTGGACATCGTTTTGGCGGTGCTGGTCGACGATCAGGGGGTAGTCCTCTGGGGCGCTTCAAGGCCCGACGTCGACAGGAACATCGTCCAACTTCGGATGTCGGCATGGGGCTACGTGATTTCAGAAGCGTTGCTGACCCTGAGTCCGCTTGGGAGCCTGCACGCATGGTGGAAACCTTGCCTTTGCCCTTCGCTCGTGCAAGGCAGGCAGCGGCGGCAGATAAAAGTGATTCGCGAATGGTCGCTGGCATCGAGAAACTTGGTGGCGTGACCTAGCCCCGCGAATTTCGAAGCATCGGAACCACGGATACTGAACCCAGGACTCCCACGACTGATTATTTGCGAAGGCTTCGCCGCAAGCGGACGACCTCTGAAACACCGCGCACGCCGCCAACATCTGCAAGCCCAAGACCAAGCATACCAGACACGCTCCTGTTTGCCTGGGGTTGGAGGCTCGACAGATCTGGCTGCTGAGAGGTCGGTACATGGCCACAGCGGTAAAACTTTCCCGCCAACGTGCGCGCGGGCTTGGGTGTTTTGGGCGTCTGATCCAAATCTTCGAGCTGCTCTGGGAGCGGACCGTGGTGGCCGCCAGCATCATTGTTGGCAATGACGTCGGCGCCATCCTGTTCGAGCTTCTCATGGATGAGTTGTTGGCGCTCATGCCGAGGGTAACTACAATGAGAACCTGGACCTTCACGACAGAGCTAATATCCGTCAATCCCACCAGCCCTCTGGGCGCAGGTGGTCTAACGATGTATGTGTTCCTTTTTCCAAAAACCCTCCTCCCCCTTCGGGGAAGGATTTATCACTGTTCCCTATTAATATACACCCCCTACCCCAAGCGACTGGGAGCCAACCAGGGACAGTGCAGACACCCCCCCCCACCATCCCTGGTAAAAAACAATGCAAAACACACTATGCCTCCACATTCGGGACATGCGCAGCGAACCCGATGCGGCCTCCCCCACCATCCCTGTCAAACACAATACAATGTACACTTGGCGGCGGCGGCGGCGGCGGCGGCCGCGGCGGGGCAGCGGCTGCGGCGGCTGCGGCAATGGCGGCGGCGGTGGCGGCGGCGGCGGCGGGGGCGGCGGCGGCGGCGGCGGTGGGGCGGCGGCGGCAGCGGTGGCGGCAACGGCTGCGGCGGCAGCGGCTGCGGCTGCGGCGATTCGGCAGCGGGGGCGACGGTGGCGGCGGCGGCGGCGGCGGGCGGCGGCGCGCGCGGCGGCGGCTGCGGACGGCGGCGGTGGGCGGCGCGGCGGCGGCGGCGGACAGCGGCGGCGGCGGCGGCGGCGGGCGGGCGGCGGCGGCGGCGGTGGGCGGCGGCGACGGCGGCGGAGGCGGCGGCGGCGGCGGATTCGTCCCCAGTAGCTGCCCATCCAAAAACGACTGCTGACTATGCTGCGGCTCGGGTGCTGCGTTCGTGTTGGGAGGGCGGGTGGGAGTGAGCGAGACGGCTTGCTGGCGGGGAGGGAGTCTTGACCCCTCCCCCTACGCCCTCCCCTGGACCTGGACGGGAGGGGCCGCGATCGGTTGGAGGGTTTTTTCGGCCCCTGGGAGGGCCAATTTATTTATGACACCATTCGCGAGGATCGTGAACCCCGAGGGGGGTCCTCGATCGGGACCCTCCCTCCTTTGATCGATAGCCTCGAAGATGGCCCCAAGAGGCGCTCCAGGGCTCCCAAGAGAGCTCCAAGAGAGCCCCGAGAGGGCTCCAAGAGGGTCCCAAGAGGGCCCCAAGAGGCACCCGAGAGGCCCCCAAGAGGCCACCGAGCAGTCTCAGAGAGCCCAAGATGACAATATGGCTTAGATAGCCCAAGCTGGCTCAAGATGGCTCCCCAGATGCTCCAAACGACCCAAGACCGATCCAAGAGCGCCCAAGGGCGCTCCAAGAGAGCTCCAAGAAACGGTTTGCAGGCTCCTGATGGGGGGAGCTGAGTTGGGGATCCCCCCATCCTGTCATCGATGGCCTCCAAGATGATCCCAAGAATCGTCCAGGGTTACCAAGAGGGTTCCAAGAGGGCCCCCCAAACTCCCAGAGAGCACCAGTAGCAGCAGAAGCCACAATAATATCTTTAGATCGTTCCATGAGTCCTCGTCCGCGTCGGCCTCATCCTAGCCCTCGCCATCCGCGTCCTCGTCCTCCTCGCCCTCCTCGCTCCTCCTCCTCCTCCTCCTCCTCCTCCCTCCTCCTCCTCCTCCTCCTCCTCCTCCTCCTCCTCCTCCCCTCCTCCTCCTCCTCCTCCTCCTCCTCCTCCTCCCGCTCCTCCTCCTCCTCCTCCTCCTCCTCCTCCTCCTCCTCCTCCTCCTCCTCCTCCTCCTCCTCCTCCTCCTCCTCCTCCTCCTCCTCCTCCTCCTCTACCCCTCGCCCCCACGCGGCACCCAGGGATGGCCCGAAGAGGCCTTCCAAGGCCACCCCCTTGCTCGCTCTGTTTCCCTGGATGTGTCTCTCCGACCCTCTTCCCGTCAGCTCTGAAGGGCAGGGTTTCTGAACGGACTGGTGGGGATTCTTTTGGTCGCGACCGCGAGCGGGCACCCGCGCGGCGTGAGAAAAGGTCGAGCTACGAGCGGAGGCCGGGGGTCACAGCGCAACAACGCAGCGGCTGGTGGGGATATTTTTTGGTCAACGGCCTCGTGAAGCGAGTCAAAAGGCGTCCAAACTCTAGCTGGGCCACGACTAGGCAGCGAGAAGCGAAAAGCAAGAGAGGCGCAGCAGCCGGGCGGCAGCTCAGAAGAGCGAAAAAAACATGTAGACCCATCCCCGGCGGCGTCCGAAAATCCCGGTAACTACCAGCAAGTAAACGCAGCCAAAATGGCGCGGCGGCGCGACCGAAATCACGTAAGGGCCGAACACTGCGGGTGGCTCGGCCGGCAACGTCAGAACGAACGAGACCGACACGCACCCCCAGAGGACATCCGTGAGCTGGTGGGGATACGCGAAGCGTGAAGAATTGGAGAGGCGCGGGACTCCCCGTGTAGGGATGCTCATCGATCGCTGTTCTCTGACGGGTGCCTTCGAATAGCCGAACCACGCTCAGGCAATGTGAGAGCCCTCTGGGCTCAAGTATCGCAGTGTGCCCCGCCGCCGAGGTGGTCGGAAACTCTGCAGCATGGGGAGTCTGAGGGGAGTCTGAGGGAGTCCATGGTATGACGAACGAACAACCCACAAATACCCATAAGGAGGGTCGTTGGGAAGAGGACTGGCTATGGGCATGGGTGCGGGTTGTCGGACCATGGGGAACGCGCCCGTTCGAGCGGGGACCCCCATCCGACAACACGCACCCATAGCCCTCTCCGACCCCCCCTATGGGTATGGGTGTGTGTGTGTGTGTTGTTGGTTCGTCAATGGTATACGACCGCATGCTGCTGGTCGCGTCGCGCTCCACGAATGACCCCCACCCCTGGGCAATTCTGGAATCGCGTTGTTAGAGCAGCATGCGCTGACGAACACATATTGCGCCTCCAGATCCAGGCAGTCCTCGTAGCCTCGCCACCGAAGGCACAGATCGTTTGGATGATCGATCACGTCACGCGTCATCGACAGCAAGTCGGACCCGCTCGTAACATATATTCGGGACATAAGAAGCTCGTGGTGTTTCAACTGTGCCAGGATTTCCTCGCGCCCATCGCCACGCGCCTGGCCGAACCGCAGGCAGTGCCACAAAGAGTCTTCAGAACGCCAACGCAAGCTGCAATTCAATATGTATTAATGGTAACCTCGGTCGGCGGCTACTCGCTGAATCCACGCGGCCCCGCGCCGCAAGGCCGAGATGCACCCCATCTGACGAGGAGAGAACCGCTAGATGCCAAGTGCACACTGACCTGGTCGTAGCACAGGCGCATGGCGTTCGCAAGCAAACTTGCGGCACTTGCCCTTCTTTTTTTTCCGGGCTCCCAGCATCGCGCCATGAGGGGCGCGCTTAACAGAAACTGGTGAAGGAAATGTGAGCTGGACGACGTCGCTGGAGTCATTCTGCACGGGGTCACCTCAATTTCTGAAGGACATGATGGGCCCATTTTCCACCACCGCTACCATATGTAGGAGGAGGAGGAGGAGGAGGAGGAGGAGGAGGAGGGAGGAGGAGCAGGACCTCCTCATCCTCCCTTCTCCCGCATCCTACATGTGGTGGCGGTGGTGGAAAATTTGCCCCTCAGAGCATGCTTCGCGGCAGAGGATGCGCCGCGCACCGTGCTCTGACTTCGAGTCCCCTTCCTGCCCTTCGGACACCTCCTCTCGTCCGCCTCGTTGCCGCTGGAGCGAAGTGCAGAAGGGTGTCCAAGACCTGGGCCCTCGAACCTCGACCCTCAACCCTCGAGCGGGAAGTGCTCGCCGCACAGCGGCGCGGCGCGCCTGCGGTTCCGCGCGGCAACGGGAGCTTCCGCCGGTCGAAGCAGATTTGCAAGACCCGCGAACGCCAGGCGCCGCGGCGGGGAGGGGTAGGCGTGGGCTTGGTTGGCTCTGATCTCTTAGCCCAGCGCGTGACGGGGCTGACTGCCGCATGCCGGATGGGATTCTACTCCGGCAAACGAAGACAAGTCAGCGACCTCTTCCCTGCACTTGGCACTCGGCTGGAAGGCGACTCCAAAATTATGGCAAGGACCTGCGAGTTCGCAATTGGGAAATCATCGGATCTCTGCGCCGTTGATCCATCCAACCAAAAAAAACCGAAGTATGCGCTAAGGCGACATTGCCCAGGGCCGTCTTCTGGCACTTGTCACCGACATCGTGAAACCTTCTTCCGGTACTGAACACGTTTGACGTGGAACATCACACGTTAAGTTGACAGCTGACTTGTCAGGATCTCCAGCGAGCTCGACGAGCTCCTTGCGCCCGGCAAAAGCCAGATGAGTAGACGAAGCGATGAGGTTGGCTCCTCGACCAATGCTATGCAACCCGAACCGCTCGCAATCATGTCGTGTGTAATAGCGGAGCCTTGCACAATACCTCTGTTTGCCTCCACTCTGTCCCCCACTACCGATTGCCCAGATTCGTCGATGTAGGTGTCTAGGCGTACTTGGTCGGGTAATACAGCGTTGACGTTGCCCCTCGCTGCGAACACTTGCCCAGGCGAAGAGGGGGACACACCATAACAAAACTACACGGCAGGCAGCACGACGGGAAGCGGCAAACAACACATGCGACATCGGAGACGCACGTCTCCTCCTCTGGGGGTTGGCAGAATGGCGTACGCCTCTCGGATAAGCAAAACTGCCATGAAGCATCCTTCGACGAATCCCTTCTCGGCGAAGTGGGGTCCCGCCACCAGCCATCCAAGGGTTAGAACATGCAGGGGCCGATGAAACGATATGGCTAGACGGGCAAGGAGGAGGGGAGCACCGACGGAAACACTGCGCTCATACAGCAGGTCCATCGAGATGAGGTCGCAAAGCTTAAGAAAGCCCCAGGGCAGAGCGACCGCTCGCTTCCCTGGCGAGCGGGTAACCTCTGACCGGAACTGCTCCCTGCTAGGTAATCCCGCTGGGACCGATCCTCTAACTGCGATGACTGCAGCAGGATTATCACGCATTGCTGGAGGGTCGCCCGGATTCGCATTATTATAATTATTATTACTTCATGCTGCTGGTGGGGCTTGGGAGATTCGCTAGAAATATGGGCGCATAGATCTGGATTGGGGAGGGAACAACGCTCATGTAGAATTGAGGCTCGCGTCTTGCAGAGACGACTGGGAGTCGAGTAGAACGAGTAGAGCCTCGCAGTGTTGAGTAGACTCGAGTAAAGTAATGTAGAGTCGAATGAGAAATCTGGGTAGGTAGAAACGAGTAAGAATCGGAGCAGACTGGAATGTAGTCGAGTAGAGCAAAGTACCGTGGAGTAGAGTCCATTCGAGTAAAGTGCACGAATCAATGCAAACAGTTTGGCTGCGCGAATCTGTTTCACTGGTTCCATATGGGAGTCAAGCCAGGAAGGTCTGCATTTGGTGATGCGGCTTGTCGTCCTCGAATTCGGGCGTACGAAACATACCCCGCCAAGAAACTAACGTGGTGAAGATGCAGGGCGGCAAAAAAGCGTCTGGCTGGAGGCCGGGCCGCCGCGAAGCGCGTGCTGGACACTGAAACCGAACGACGTCGTTTCGATATGTGCCCTGTCCCTGTCGTTCGCGAGAACAGGGAGGGAGGGGGAGCAGAGGCCAGGCCTCCGTCCAACTGCTCCATCACCAGGTGCAAATAGTCGGAGGACTCGTAGACGTCATACCTCAGGGCGATGCCGCGGCTGCATTGGCGACTGACGGGGTGCCAGGTACCCTGTGTGATTAGCTGGCTGTACAACGAGGGCAGGAGGCGTCGCCGACGGGGGCCGGATGCTGACAACGCCTGTCAGAGAGACATGCTGGACTGTCGAAGCGGAGAGCTGGGGGGCGATGATGCGAGGGTCTATCGGGGCAACGGCGTGTGTTGGATCTCGGCAGGCCATTGCTCAGCGTCTGCAGAGTCAGCGGCACAATGATATACGATGTGTAGATGCGCACGTGGATGCAGCAATAGTCTAAGATCAGCGCCTGAACCAATGCCAGCACGTCAAGTCGTTTAATATGACGCGTTATGATAAAATCACGCGCTGAGGCGGCACTAGGGCAAATCCCAGAAATTGTGGCCAACAGGTTGCTATGGGGGATGAATCCGGAACGCCAAGAGCTTTCAAAACTCTCCACGACGGCTGGGGACCTCTTCAAGAAGGCCCAACGCCTGCCTAGATGATCCCAAGACCACCACAAGACAGCGACAGCATCCCCACGGGACCCTCCCGACAGCTGCAGGGTTTCCGACTGTCCCGCCGCATGCCCTCAGAAAACCTCCGAGCTGGCGTGAACATATGGCCCAGAGGGGCCATGGGAGCCCATACAGAGGGGCCTCAAGGGGCCCAGCGAAGGGGCCTGGAGCTGCCCGAAGGCGCCCAGAGGGGCCCCAGGCCAACCCAACGAGCCCGAACGACCATACCGAATCCAAACCGGCTCGCGGTCGAAACCAAACCGGAACAAGCGAACCGGCCCGCCGCCGAACCAGCCCGAACCGGACCCTCCCTGCGAGAGCGGGACATCGGCGGAGGGAGGAGCGGAGCGGCGGGGGAGGGGCACAGGCGGCAAACGTTCGGATGGTCCATGCACAGGAAGAGCTCGGCCTCGCGGCGCGGTGCAGCAGAGCGTGCGGAGGGCCAAGGGCCGGCGGCGTCCGCCGCTGGCAGCCGACGAGGGCAGCCAGGCGGCCCTCCCCCTCCCCCAGGGCTGTCTAAAGGCTGGCCTTTGTCGCAGATCGATCTACGGTCGGGGAACTTTTGCTTAGCGTGTCGCGGCGGCGGCCCCAGCGACACGCTACGCCTTGCGAGTGGATAGCGTGTCGCTCCGCTCCGCGGGGCGGGAGGCGGGGGGAGGCTCGGGACGTTGACGCCTGGGGACTGGGAAATGGATAGCGTGTCGCCCTGAAGCGTGGTGGGCCAGAACCGACGCCGCAACACGCTATCCAACATATCCCGACACCCGCATGCACGTTCGAACCGATCCAACTGGACCCCGCCCGCGGAACTGCGTGATCGAATCGATGGTTGCCGCGAGCAGAAGCCTGCACGCACCATCGAATCGCGGACCGGTCTGCCCGCCCTCTCCATCCTCCTGCCCGTCGCCCCCGTGAGCCGAGGGCTGCCGTTTGAGCGCCCTCCGCTCTTGCTGCCCTGCCGAGCTGGGGCGGCACTGCCTTCCGACCTGGCCGGCCATGCGCCCTGTGGGCGCTCGCTTGGCTGGCCGGACCCGCCGGTGTCGAACCCGCGCCGTTCTTCCAGCTCCCTTCTCATCGAACTTATTGCACAAGCGGGCAGAACACTCGAAGTTGGCCACCATGGACGAGGAGGAGAATGTATGCCAAATGCCGAATGTACCAAGCGCACCAACCGCAAGACAAACACACACACAACCAAACACACACACACACACACACACACTCACAACGCACACACCGCATACAGACACACACTTGATCCTTCGACGCGCCACTGAATCCAAACGACGGGCGCATGTTAACGGGACGCGCGCACACAAACACACACACACAAACACACACACACACACTCTTTCCGGTCGTCGCGGGTGGGCGACTCGCCACACCGTCAGACGCACCGCGCGAAGGACCGACACACATACACACAACCACACACACACACTTTCTGTTGCTGCGGCAGCACGCGGAGTCAGCTGATCAGCGGACAGCCGAACAGAGTGGCCGAAGCGCCCGAAGGGGCGGCCGAGGTCCCACGCAGCCCAGGCGGGCAGCACATGGCTCACCCGTAAGGAACCACGATGTGCGGGCGTCTCTCGGTGGGGCAGCCGAGAGGGGGCCGAGCGGGGAAAGCTACCAAAGGTGCAAGCTGCGTGGCAAGCCGAAGGGATGGACAGCAAGGGACCAAGAGCGGGGAGCACACACAAACAGACACACACACACGCAAACACACACACACACACACGCAACACACACACACACATACACAAACACATACACACACACATACACACGCACACATACATACATACACACACACACGTTTTGCGTCGGCGGCTAAGCAGAGTGACTGCGCTGGCGGAAAAGAGCATGTGTGGGACATGCAGATGCGAATCAGGCCGCGGCAAAACGCACACACACATACACCTTTTACTCGACGAGCGTGCGTGCTTCGATGCGCTGGTCACAGTAGGGCAGTGCGGCAGTGGCACACACTCACACACAACGCACGCACACCCACACACACACATGTTTGTCATCAGCGGCCGGATGACAGCATCACAACGAGTGCTATGGCGGGACCCGCTTAGTTCAATTACAATCGGAAGTGTGAATGAACACTGACGCATGCAGAAAACGTGAAACCGCGAACGCACGTGGAACACGAGGATGAGGCACTGCAGGTGTAGAAGCGAGCGGAGCACAACTGATCCTGAAACGCAAAGGAATAATGCACGCCGAGAAGGCCGAAGCGACCATGCAACGCGGTGCAGGGAGAAGGAATTGCAAACTTTTCCATGAGCGCCGCAGCCCGACTGTAAAGGCGCTAACAGACAAAACGGCAGAACAGACCGCGGGACCGCGTGGGAACAATACTCCCCGCTGTGCAGTGGCATCAGGTGCACACCCCCCCCGCAAGGTGTCCCGCTGAGCGCTAGGGCGCAAAGCCGGAGGAGAGACCCCAGGTGGACTACCCGGGAGAGCAGCAGCGGCAGGAGGCAGAGAGGTGGAGCGGCACCCCCTGGGAGACCAGGGCGAGCCCAGGGCCCGGGGAGGGAGGAGAGCGCGCGACGGGGGCCGACCGACGACCCAGGGTGAGGGAGGTCGAGGCCCAGGCGACGGCCCGAGGGACGAGCTGGAGAGGGAGAGGGCACAGCAGCGGCGCAAGACGGCGAGGGAAGGGGCACCGCCTGGAGGCACACCGCGCCCGATAGCAGAGCCGCCAAGGGGAGGCCGCCCGGCCGGCTGGCCAGGCAGGCGGCTGCGCGGGGAGACGTGGGGGGCGAACGGCGTGCCACGAGAGCACACACACAGCCACACGCACACAGCCACACACAGACACACACACACACATGCACACACACACACATGCACACACACAAGCAGACACACACACACACACAAACACACACACACACACACGCACACACGCACGCAGACGCACACCCACACACACACACACTCACGCAGACACACGCAAACACACACAGACACAGACAGACACACACACACACACACAACACACACACGTAGACACACACGCATACGCAGACACACACACACACATACACACATACATACACGCAGACACACAGTCACACAGTCACACACACATGCAGACACAACTGTTTGGCGCCACAGCCACGGGCGCACGCGGCGGAGTCAAGTCAGCCAGGACACCCAAACATACACACAACACACACCAGCATGGATCGCAACACAAAAACTGCGGAGGGTGTGACGACTTCCATGCGACGGTAGCCAGACAGACCCGGCTCCTGGCCTGCGCGGTAAATCCTCCTCCCGCTGCCGACGACTCACCGCCGAGCTGCCGGAACCGGCAAGGCCGAGCGCGCAGCGCCCGGGCGGCGCCGGCAACGACCAGCAGGACGGCGACGACGACAACACATAGGACGACGAGGAGAACGGCGAGGACAACGACGAGGACGGCGAGGAGGAGGAGGAGGAGGAGGAGCAGGAGGAGGAGGGGAAAAGGACGACGAGGACGGGGACAAGGACGACGGCGTCGAGCAAGACGACGCCAACAACAGGGAGCAGGACGAGGAGGACGAGGACGAGGACGAGGAGGACGACGACGACGTCAAGCACGACGACGACAACGACGACGACAGCGACGGCGGCGACTACAGCGACGGGGACGACAGCGACTCGCACGCCGACGTCGCTGGGCGCGGCTCGCCCGCGCGCGCCTCGGCGGCGAACTGCTTGCGCTTCTTGAGGGCCACCTGGGGGGGGCGAGCGCCTTTTGGCAGGCCGCGGCCGCCAGGGGGGGTCGGGCGCCGTTTTTTGGGCAGGCCGGGGCCGGCGGAACGCAGCGAGGGGGGGTTAACTTTAGGTCGGGCGTCCCCCTATAGGCGGATTTTGGACGAAAAATAAAACAACTCAAACAATATGCAAAAATTGCTCAAAAAGAATCAAAAAGTCGTTCCCGGACTATGTTTTGACTATTTTCGAATTTTCCTCCCGTAGAGGGACACGCCCGACTTAAGTTCCGGCGCGTTATCAGGAACGCGAGGAACCATGATCACACAATTGGGCATTGAACTCCCCAAGTCGTGTAATAGGTTCACAGGTTGAGACATGGGGTCATCAACCACAGGGAAGCCTGAAGACGACAATTCCTTGTTGATACAAAACGCCCTCTACCAGTGCAGTGCTACATGTGTTCGTGTTGCATGCCTTTCGTATGGAAAACCCTTGGCGAGGACCACCTTCTGAAACAAAGTTGCAGAACTCCATCCATCCAGCTGCTGCGTAAACGCGAATATGCGCGGCGCTGAGGCTGGAATAACATTTTGAAAACGACCTGTGTTCCGTCCGTGCGGCCGCTGCAAGAGTTTGGGGCGAACGTGCGCGGCGCAACGGCGACGGCGAGAGCCGCAGTATTAAAAGCGCAGTGCTCCATCCTCGAAAAAAAGGACAGACGTTAAATGCGACTGTGCGCGGCACTTAAAGCAGAACAGCAATTCGACAAGGAGCCACCCCGCCCTCCCCTGAAACTGTTGCAAACTTTCACAACGAATGCGCGCGGCGCAGAAGCGAAGGCAACATTTTGAAAAGGAATCGCCCTCGAAACTTTCACACCGACTGTGCGTGGCGCTGCGGCGAGAGCCACATCTTGGAAAGGGACAACCCTCCATCTTTGGAGCCACTGCCAAATTAGAAGACGAATGTGAGCGCCGCTGCTGCGAGAGCAACGTTTCCGAATTGCGCTTCGCTAGAGCGCCCTAATGTTTTTCATCTCCACACGGGGGCCCCCGGGGAGACGTCTCACCCGCCCGGCGGCGCGTGCCGGCAGCGCTCACTGTGGTGTTCCGGCTTGATTCGGCCCAGAGCTGCGACTCACTATGGCGTTATGGCTCGACTTGGACCAGACATGAAGCTCGATATTGTGCTGTGGCTCGGTTTCAACCCTCCCTGACCCAGAAATGACGCTCCCTATGCTGTTCTGGCTCGACGGGGCCCCAAAACAAGACTCACCATTGCATTTTGTCTCGATTTCCTTTGGCCGGAACCTCAACAAAGGAGGCCGGGGGAGGCGTCTCACAGGTCTGGCGGCTGTCCGGAATCGCCTCACTATGATGGTCTGGCTCGAGTTCAGCCCTCGCGAAATCAGAAATGAGACTCGCTCTGGTGCTCTGGTTCGATTAGGTCCAGGCATGAAGTTCACTATTGTTTTCTGGCTCGGCTTCCTTCCGCCAGAATCTCAACAAAGGAGCTGGGGGGAGGCGTCTCACTGGTCTGGCGGCTGTCCGGAGTCGACTGTTCTTGCTCGGTTGCAGCCCTCGTAGATCCAGAAATGAGACTCACTCTGGTGTTCGGGTTCGATTTGGTTCAGAAGTGACTCTCGCTACGGTGCTGTGGCTCGATTCCAGCTCTCGCAAATCCAGAAATGAGACTCGCTCTGGCGTTCTGGCTCGAATACGTCCAGACATGAAGCTCATGATTGTTTCTGGCTCGATTTAAACCCAAAGATTCCTCTCACCTGGATCTCCAAAGAAAGGGTCCGATTGTTCTGGCTCGAGTTCGGCTCTCGCAAATCCAGAAGTGAGACTCACACGGGTACTTTGGCAAAGAAACCTATATGTTTTACGCCAGTGCCTATCGACTGCCCATTTCCAGTGAGTTGAATCTTATGTGTTTACCTATGTACATGTCGAATGCTCTTCTCCTGTGGCTCGAATCCGATGTGTTTTACGTATGTGCCTCTGGATTGCCCCTCTCCTGTGGCTCGAATCCTGTTTGTGGTGTACGTATGTGCATATCGATTGCCCGTCTCCTGTAGCTCCAGCCCAGTGCGTCTCATGTTTGTGATCAGATCCATGTATGTATTTGCATGTTCTGATATATATCCGCCGGCCCCCTTGTGGGGCCACCAGGCTGTAGGCCCGTGATTCGCAGTTTCCTGTACCAGTCGTAGGTTGTAGTTTCCAGTGTTGCAGTTCTGTTTCTTGCTGGTTACTGTAACTAGTTGATTGACCGCGCGAGGGGGGGGGAGGCCCAAACAGGATTTTTTAGCGTCTCCTGGGCGCGTTGTCTGAATTGCTGGGGGGGCTCGAAATCGACACCCCTTACGCAGATCCGCGGGGTCAGGGTCCAAAAACACATGGGATTTGCCACATTTCTGAAATTCGGTGCCACCCCTCACGCAGATCCGCGGGGAAATTCGGTGCCACCCCTCACGCAGATCCGCGGGGTCAGGGTCCAAAAACACATGGGATTTGCCACATTTCTGAAATTCGATGCCACCCCTCACGCAGATCCGCGGGGTCAGGGTCCAAAAACACAAGGATTTGCCACATTTCTGAAATTCGGTGCCACCCCTCACGCAGATCCGCGGGGTCAGGGTCCAAAAACACATGGGATTTGCCACATTTCTGAAATTCGGTGCCACCCCTCACGCAGATCCGCGGGGTCAGGGTCCAAAAACACATGGGATTTGCCACATTTCTGAAATTCGGTGCCACCCCTCACGCAGATCCGCGGGGTCAGGGTCCAAAAACACATGGGATTTGCCACATTTCTGAAATTCGGTGCCACCCCTCACGCAGATCCGCGGGGTCAGGGTCCAAAAACACATGGGATTTGCCACATTTCTGAAATTCGGTGCCACCCCTCACGCAGATCCGCGGGGTCAGGGTCCAAAAACACAGGGGATTTGCCACATTTCTGAAATTCGGTGCCACCCCTCACGCAGATCCGCGGGGTCAGGGTCCAAAAACACAGGGGATTTGCCACATTTCTGAAATTCGGTGCCACCCTTCACGCACATCCATCGCAAGGCGTGGTAACCCAAACTGCGAGAACTCCCTCGGCCCTTTAATCGCAAGGTGTGGTAACCAAGCCCGTAAACCATACACGTCTTACCAATCGCCAGGTGTGGTAACCCCTCTTGTGATCAGTTGGTTTTGCTGATTGCGAATCGGCTTCGCATGAAGTTTCGATACTGCTTCACGACAGCGCCAAGGCCTCATGACTTAGCTCTTCCATGGCCCATTCTCCGAGAGAGGGGGCCGGCGGCAGGGGGCGAAGCCCTTACGGATATATATATATATATATATATATATATATATATATATAGATATATACATCTCCATGCGCCCATGTATATATATATATAGAAAGAAAGAACGTCAGAGTGAGGGGGGCCAAACGGCCATTCATTGTCCCTGGGTGCGTAGCTGAAGTGGGAATCCGTGCTGAGGACTATGTTTGTTGAGTTGTAGTTGGTGTTGTAGCTGTTGTTGTTGTGATTGTTGTTGTGGTTGTTTGTTGTCGTCGTCGTCCCCCCTGCGACCCACCCGCGACCCCACCCGCGACCCACCCCGCGACCCACCCCGCGACCCAACCCGCGACCCATCCCGCGACCCGCCTGCGACCCAACCCGCGACCCACCCGCGACCCACCCCGCGACCCACCCGCGACCCACCCGCAACACACCCGCGACCCACCCCGCTACCCACCCGCGACCCACCCCGTAACCCATCCGCCACCCACCCGCGACCCACCCCGCGACCCACTTGCGACCCACCCGCGACCGATCCACATTGGTTTGAAGAAAAACTCGGCGCCTGCGGCGGGCTCGTTGTATAAGTTGCAAAACTTGGCGCCGTCTCGCAGACTGCCGACGTCCCCACCGCCCCATCACTCTTATCCGTATCTGCGGGGTGCTACGTATAGATTGCCACTTCCCCTGGGCTCGAATCCTGCGTGTTTTGCTGATGTGTGTGTGTGTGTGTCTCGAATTCCAAGTGTGCTTCCGTATGTGCCTATAGATTGTCCCTCTCCTGTGGCTCGAATCCTGTGTATTTGCGTGTGATCCTACAGATTGCCCCTCCCGTGGCTCGAATCTTAAGTTTTTGCCACGTATGTGCCAATCGATTGCCCCCCCTTCCCTGCGGCTCGGATTCTGTGTTTCACGTATGTGCGTATAGATTACCTCCCTCCTGTGTCTTCATCCCGACGTATTCTACTAGATTGCCACTCTGATGAGGCTCGAGCCCCATGTGTCTCCCCAGGCCCCCCTGGCCCCGGGACGGAACGTCGGGATTTTATGCGTATTTAGTGTCGATTCGTTGACGTCTTGGCCTTTGGGCGGCCTTCCCCGTGCCTCCCGAGATCCCCGTGGGCCCGGGGACGGGAAGTCGGAAATTTATATGTATCCAATGTCGGGTCGTTGACTTTTCGACTTCCGGGGGCACCCGGGACCCCGAGCCCTCGCACCCTCCTCTCCTGTGTCTCGAATTCTGTGTGTTTACGCATGTGCCTACAGCTTGGCCCTCTTCTGTATCTCAAATCCTATGTATTTACGTATGTGCCTATAGATTGCCCCGCTTGGGGCTCGAACCTCGTGTTTTACGCATGTGCCTACACATGGCCCTTCTCCTGTGGCCCGAAGCCTGTATGTGTGCTTACGACGTGCCTATATGTTGCTCCTCGCTTGTGGCTCGAATCCTACCTCTTCTACGTATATGCCTGTAGATTGCCCCTCTCGTGTGGCTCGAAATCCCATGTGTTTTAAATATATTCCCATACATTGCTCCTTTCCTGTAGCTCAGATCCTTTGCATTGTACGTATGTGCCTACAGACTGCCCCTCTCAGCCTTACGTGTTTTCACGCATGTGCCTACATAGTGACCTTCTCCTGTAGCTGGGATATGTTTGTGATTTGCATACGTGTTTGTCTATCGGTTGCCCTTCTCCTGTGGTTCGAACTCCTGGTGTTTAACTTTTGTGCCTATAGATCACCCTTCCTTGTGCTATCCGTAGCCCTTCTGGCCGCGCGGCACGCAGGCTCTTGATTCCAACCCTCTGGCCAGCCATGCCGCCCAAACTCTCGGAATCAGCAATCGATGAGCGCTTGGTTCCTCTATGCCATTACGTCCGGCGGTCACTTTGCTGATAGCCTGGGTAGGACTAGCGCGTACATCACGGAGGTGTTCGACGGCATCACCTACGAGAGCGGTTCTGGCTTGTACATCCCGCGCTGTGCCATGATACAGAATGCAAAATTCGGCAATCAGCCGTTCATCTCTTCGAACACGGTGCTGTTCAGCCTGTCGCGTTCACGGAGTCATGACCACGGTCTGCCTGAGATCCACGGCGCTGCTCAGCCCGCGGAGCGTGTCATGTTCCACGAACGCCCTACGAGAAGAAAAGTCGTCATCATCTTCCATCCTCTTCTCCACGGTCCACGCGGTCCACTGCGATCTTCCTCATGGTTCAGAGGGATCATCCTCAGAATCATCCTCAACATCGTTTGCATACTTACATCTGGGAATGTCCACATCTGAACATCCACGCCTCAGCTGCTACGAGGGTGCTTTTTCCCCGTGGTAAGTTTGACAACGGGCCGCCCTCCATCCTTGAAGCCGTGGTAAACTTTTAAGACGAATGTGCGCGGCCCTGCGACAAGAGCAGCATTTCGACCACCACTACATGAGAAGGAACAAAAACATAAACATTAACTCTTGGTGCTCCGCGCGGATTTCTTGGATCCGCGCCAGAGCCCCCTCCCTGGCGCGCGGAGCGCGCCAGGGGCGGCGCCTCCGGCGCCGCCATGGGGGCCCAGCGCGGATCCAAGAAATCCGCGCGGAGCGCCAAAAGTTTATGTGAATGTGTTTTTTTTCTTCTTCGACACATGGCCTCAATTCTGCCCTGAACAGCGACGTCGACCGCGGAGCCAACTCTGCTGGCCTGAATGATGAGGAAAGAAAAGGACAGTGGTGTGGCAGCGGCGACGAGATGCACGCAGGCCTCTGTAGGCGGCCGCTTTTGAAACCTGAGCACGTGTCGATGGCAGCGGCATCGCGTTGGCCAGGCAGGAGCAAACGCGCCTGAAAACTGAAGCAGGCAAGGGAGGAAAGGGAGGAGGAGGACAAGGAGGGGGGTTAGACACAGGGGCCGCGCTTTGACCGTTCCTAGTTCCAAAATCTGTGAGCATGCTCGTCGCCGTCGCCGTCGCCGACCTCCTCCTTACACACCTCATAAGCCTGTCTTCTGTCCTTTTCGTAGAAGAACACACCCACACACACATATATATATATATATATACATATATACATACATAGACACATACATCCATACATACATACGTACATACATGCGTGCACACATATACATACATTCATGCATTCATGAATGCATACGTACACATATATATAGATATACAAGCGTACATACCTGCATACACACCTACATATACATATACATATATACATGCATGCATGCAGACGTACACACATACACGCATACACGCATGCCCGCACTTACAAACATACGCACATGCACATGTATGTATACATCCGTGTACAGTTGTATGTGTGTATATGTGTATGTGCAAACGTACGTGCATTCAGACATGAATGCATGCACACATACATACACCCATACAATTATGCAGACAGACGCGCATGCAAACACATATACCTATGCACGCATATGCATACATGCGTGCATGCATGCATCCAGTTACCCATACACACATACATGTACATGTACGTATACACGTACACATACATACATACGTATACATACAGGCGTAGGCATACGCACATGCAGGCGTGTACACATATATCCATATACAGAAGCATGCGTGCAAACATGGTTGCATACATGCATTTATGCATATCCATATATATATATATATAAACATGCCTGCATACACACACGCATGCATACATACATGCACACACGCATCAACGCATGCATACATACATGTATGCATGTATACACAATTGCACACATACATACACACATACACACGTACAAACATTCAACCATACATACATACACACACGCATGCAACCATAGACATGCATACATTTGTACACACATGTATACATACATGATCATCATGTAGGTGTATATACAGATCAGTCCTCAACATCATCAACAACCCTTGCCCGTATCGTCGCCCTCTGTCTCCCCCTCCTCCTGGGCCTCCTGTTGGACTCCACGGTTCGCTGGGCCAAGTTTGCAACCGTCCTCCTTCTGGCCTTCTCCCAATATCCTCTTTGTTCCCCCACTCCTCCTCCAACTCCTTCTTCCTTCTCCCCATCCTTCTCCCTCCTCCTCTTTCTCTGTCTTATCATACCCTTCTCCCTGCTGCGTGACCCCCCCCTCCTTACCCCCTGATCCCTCCTTCTTTCTCCATACCTACTCCCCTCTTCGTCGTCCCTCCTCCCTCCTACTCGTCTCCTTCATTGCCCACTTTCTCGTCCGTCTTCTCTTCGTCCTCGTCCTCCACCTTTCACTCTTCCTCCTCCTCCTCACCCTCTTCCTCTTCAGCCTCCTTCTGCTCACACCTCTCCACCCCAAACCCCTCCTCCTCCTCCTCCCTCTTCCTCCTCCTCCTCCCACCGTGATAATGCTCCTCCCCTCCTTCATCATTCCAACCTCCTGTTCTTCTTCGATGTGTCCTCCTCGCCCTCCTCTTCTTCCATAGATCCTTATCCTGCCCCCCTTCTTCACTAGTCTCTCTTCCTTCTCTTCCTGATGCTCCTTCTACCCTTCTGGTACCTCTTAACTCGTCTGCCCCGTGCCTCCTCGTCTGCCTCGTCTCCACGCGCCTGGCCCAATGGGGTGCGGCTCTTGCGCCCCCCTGGCCGAGGGCGGCACCTGCTTCAGGCTGAAAGACTTCACCGCGTACATCTCGCGCCGGCAGGGCCGGCGGATGCGCAGACGGTGCGGCGGCAATCTCACCGTCGGGGCCCCGTAAACGTAGAATTCTTGATCAACCAAAGCGTTGGCGCGCCCGAGAAAGCCGCAGTCGTGGGTCGAAGCGTTCTCCATTCTTCGCCCTCTCCAGTGCCCAGGTCTCCCGGGGCCATGGCACCGCTCTGCTCGCTCGTCGCCGTCTGGACTCGCCGAGTAGTGGTTGTGCCCTGGACCCTCGTACACTCAAATATTGAACCTCGAACTGAGATTCTCGAAATTTGAACCTCGAATCTCGAACCTCGAAGTTCGAAGCTCGAAGCTCGAAGCTCGAAGCTCGAAGCTCGAAGCTCGAAGCTCGATCCTCGAACATCGAACCTCGAACCTCGAACCTCGAACCTCGAACCTCGATCCTCGAACCTCGAGGCTCGATCCTCGATCCCCGAAGCTCGATGCTCGATCCCCGAAGCTCGATCCCCGAAACTCGGGGCTCCTCCGCTCGGGGGCGCCCAAGAGGGGGGCGTCCAAGAGGGGGGTGCACAAATCATGGCCAGCGGCATGTGCGCGGCCCAGGGGGGGGATGGGGGGGCAGGGAACGTGTTGAAGTAGGAAGAGGCGCCATGAAATCGGGGGAGATATCATGGCACCCGCCATGATATACACACCCCTGGTCATCATCCCCCTCTTTGCCGCCCCCGACGATCCCCGGAACCACCACTCGGACCGCACGGCGGGCGGGAGGCCGGTCGAGCGGCAGCGGCGCGCCCCTCCGCTCCAGCCGCGCAGCGCAGGGGAGCGGTCGAGGGGGAGACAGGGGGGGACATGGGGAGAGGAGGAGGAGGAGGAGCAGGAGGAGAAGGAGGAGGAGGAGGAGCAGGACGAGGAGAAGGAGGAAGAGGAGGAGACAGGGGAAGACGTGGGGGAGGAGGAGGACCAGTGTAAACCCAAGAGTCACCAACGATGCTGGAGTAAACCCTCCCTCCAAGCTCCCTCTTCATAGGCCCTTTCAACGCTTCATTCCTATTAAAGGAACTGCCTCGTTGGAAGACACCCGTTTGAAGACCCTGAAGCATGCCGAATTGTTGTTCTCGGGATTCCAACGCCACGGATTAACCTGACTGTTGCGTCTTGGCTATCCTGAATCGTGCCGGAACGGCATAACTAGGACTTCAACGCATAGAATCAGCGTAACGGTTGCGCCCGCATAATCCTGACTCCTTCCTGAACACCATGTCTGGTACGTTGATGATGGGAAGCCGTGGCACTTTTGAAAATTGTGTAAACGAACGTGCGCGGCGCTAAAGCGAGAACCACATTTTGAAAAGGAGCCGCCCTCAATCCGTGAAACTCTTGCACATGTTTAAAACGAATGTGCGCCGCGCTAAGGCGAGATCCACACTTCGAAAACCACTCGACCTCAATCCGTGAAACTCCTGCAAATATTTGAAAACGAATATGCGCGGCGCTCAAGCGAGAGCCAAAGTTCGAAAACGACCCACCCTCAATCCGTGAAACACTTGCAACTTTTGAAAGAGAGCAACGACTGTGCGCCGCGCTAAGGCGAGAGCCACATTTTGAAAACGATCCGCCCTCCATCTGTGAAGCTGTTGCCAATTTTTGAATTTGTCAGGACGGCTACGGCGAAACGCCCAGAGCGCCCTAACAACTGGCCTCGGGGTGCGACAGGGAGAAGTTGAGTAAGGAAAAGAGGAGGAGGAGGAGGAGGAGGAGGAGGAGGAGGAGGAGACAGGGGAAGATGGGGCGGAGGAGGAGGGGGAGGAGGACCAGGGCAAACCCAAGAGTCATCAACGCTGTTGGAATAAACCCTCCCTCCAAGCTCCCTCTTCATAGGCCCCTACGAGGATTCATTTCCACTGGGGGAACTGCCTCGTTGGAACACAACCGTTTGAAGACCCTGATGCATGCCAAAAACTTCGTTCACCAAATTCCAACGCCACGGATCAATCTGACTGTTGCGTCTTGACGATCCTGAATCGTGCCAGAAAACAATTCCTGGGACTTCAACACCGCCAATCAACGTAACTGCTGCGCCCTCAGAATCCAGCATCCTTCCAAAACACCATATCTGGTACGATGCCCGAAGCTGATCACAGTGAGATCTCAGAGCGGAAGCGGATGCATGGTTTCGGGGCAAGTGTCTCCGCAACGAAGGGGATCCTGCAGCGGCTTCGTCAAGATGCACCCCCCTGGCAGTGGTGCTCAAGATTACGTCTGGCCAGCGTGCCTCAGCCATCCATGCCGATGCTGAATATTACAGGCCACAGCGGTCTCCTCAGCCTTTCTCAGGCGCTGGTCTGGCGGCAGCGGGATATTCCCTCGCCACGATTGAATGATGTCCATCGTGAAGTTTAACGATGTGCGCCGTCGTCGTCGTCGTCGTCGTCGTCGTCGTCATCGTGATCCCGCCTCCTCCTCCTCCTTGCCACGATCCTCCCGCTCCTCCCCCTCGTCGTCCTCTGATGTCGGGCGTGACCCATCGCTTCAGTGACACCTCCATCCTCCAGGGGGGGCTGGCTGCGACTCCCCAGGAGGCGCCTTGCACGCATACCATAATACTGGACCTGTCAATAACAGCCCCTTGCGAGCGCCCAAACATGCCTTCGGGTGTCGCAACAGCCTGCGAGCGCCACAACCTGATCCTGCTAGCACCACAGAAGCCGACAAGTACCAATACGCATGTAAGCACCAAATCGCCTGCGAATAGCAGCAACAAACACACAACAGTATGCCAGACCTTGCCAGTAACACAATAGCCTGCAAGCATCAGTATGCCAGTGAGCGCCGATACAACCTGCCAACACCAAAACACCACAACGTGCCGATGAACACCCAACGTATTTCCACAAGCACATACTGGACCCAGCCACTACCACAACCGCCTGCAACCGCCTGCAACCGCAACCGAGCGCCACAAAGTGCCTGCAGCATCACAAGGCATGTGCGAAGCCTCATGTGCCAAAGCACGAGAAGCGCGCGTGTGGGCGGAAGTCACCCAACGCGATCCGATGAGAAACTAATAAAACGATCATGACCGATGAATCGTGCTGCATCATCCTGCCACAACTCCTCTCCACCCTAGTAGGAGCCATCCGCCTGCGTTGATGATCGTCCCTCGCGACGCCTACCACTTTCTCATCCCCCAATTAACCGAAACTTGCTGAGCCAGTCAGGCATAGCCAAACACATAACAGGCAGATGATGCGACACTGCGACACTGCGAACGACGTTATCTCAACAAACATCGCGTCGCGCTCCACAAACCCGCCGATGACCGTACGCCTGAGCATTCAAATGCGTAGCGCGCCCTGCATCTTGAAAACATGACCGCGCGTCCCTGGACCTCTTCCCCTTTGGTTTCGCCAGATCCCTCGTCCTGGCCCCTCCGCCTGGGATGAGGGGCGCGGCAGGAAGGCATGAACGATGGGGCGTAGGACGGGATATGAGGAGGCGAAGGAGGAGGCGGAAGAGAACGAGGAGACACAACAAGACACGGCATCGCAGTGGAGCTCCGAATCGATAACCTGACGAGATCGAAGAGGCTCTGCGCGCTGCTTCAGCAAACAAGCCTCGCTCGCAGACGCAGGCGGCCAGTCTGGAACCACCCGCGCGGCCCCATGCCGGGCCACCCCAGGGGAACTGGAGAAGGGGGGAGTCAGGAGGCAGGAGAACGGAGAGAGGCGATAGGACGAGCAGGGAGGAGGGAGGAGGGAACACCAAGAGGCTACAGACACCAAGAAGTATGAAAGAGGGATGGCGGAAAGAGAAGGCGAAGTCAAGAGAGAGAGAGAGAGAGAGAGAGAGAGAGAGACATGGACGAGGAGAAGGAGGAGGGCTCAGTGGGAAAGCGAATAAAGAGTGTGAAAGGAAACGCAATGAGGGACACCAGATATCTGAGGTCAAGGTGGTCTGTGTGCACAATGCGACAGCCATGTGGCTGTCACTGGCAACCCCCGTCTGTGGGAGGAGCCTGCGTGCCCCAGTAATGTTTCTTTTTGTATGTCCGGCAAAGCGCTGGTTCATCCCCTCCCGAGAGCGCCCGTTTCGCGCCGACGTGCTGCAGTAACGAACGAATCGATGGATCATGCAAGAGAAGCGGCCAGATAGACAAGGGTAAACGAGAGAGGTGTGCTGCGAGAAATCGAGACAGAAAGAGAGAGAGAGAGAGAGAAAGACAAAAAGAGAGAGAGAGAGAGAGAGAGAGAGAGACAGAGAGAGAAAGAGAGAGAAAGAGACAGAGAGCAAAAAAGAGAGACAAAAAAAGATAGAGAGAGAGAGAGAGAAAACTGAGAGAAGTCGGGCGAGCAGCCAGCACCGCGCGCCACACAACCGCAGCCCTGTGGCGCGCGACGCCTCTTCCCCAAGGAGCGGCAGTTTCAGCTGGCGGAATGCAACATGCGCACAAGGCTGCTGGAGCAGAGGCATTCTGGGAGGGGAAGGATCTCTCCAAGACCCAACCACAGCCTCAACCAACAAATGCCTCAACGACTCCTGCCGAGTAACGCGGCAAGCCTGATCTCCTCCTCCTCCTCCTCCTCCTCCTCTTCTTCTCAAGGCTCGTCTCCTCCATTTCACGGTGCCCATCTCGCTTCGCTGGGGGTCGCGTCGGGCGGACAGGCCCGGCGGGCGCGACTTGAAAGCAAACGTGCAAGTTGCCGTGCGAACGGACAGGACGTTAAACCGAGCGGGTAGAGCGGAGGACAAAAGATCTAGCACGGACGACATCGTTTCCACTCAGTGGAGGACATCTAGCACGGACGCCATCGTTCCGCTTCAGGACTCCGTGTACAACAATATCCCGTCGTGCACGAGCCGATCTTCCCCCAAATGCATATGCATCCTGGGGCAATCTTCCCCCCACCCCCACCAACACAGCAAGTTTCGAGACTTGTTGAACCACGCTTGCAGCAGTAAGTGTTTGGTTCTGGGCACTCGGCATCGCAACCAGAGGAAAAGAGGTACACGTCGCCAGGATGTTCATGCCCGTGATGAATTGTAGAGTTGAGCTTCTTGATATCGATCGGTAGATCCTGCGCTTCGTCCTTGCTGTTGTCTGCGGTCTGCGTCCTGCCGGGGCTCAGCGCCCGTGACTAGAGCAGCCCCACTCCGTCGGCCTCGCTCGTGGCGTCGTCTGAGTTGTGCGAGTCGTCCTCCACCAGGCAGCGCTCCTCCAAGGTCTCGGTCATGCCGTCGGCGGCGACGCCGCCGCGGCCGACGAGCAGGATGGCGAACGCTGCTGCAAACACCGCGACGTTCATGTCGGTAACGGTGAAGCAACAGGGGCTTGTCGGCAACAGGCGCAAAACCCCGCGTTCCAAATGCCTGAAGACTTGCCACAATGTCTTGGGCAAAACTTGAACCAAAATGGCTACGGAGGGTGCCCCAGTAATGTTGAAACCCGCACTCGACTGCGGATGAATTCTTAAAGGCCCCAGTGGGCCGTCCTGGGGCTGACTTAGGGCTCTTCGTGTTTTTGTTTAGGAGTGGGTTGTTGGGGCCTGCCTGGTGCTCTCTTGCGCATTATTGTGGCCATCTTAGGATGTCTTGAGGTCCTTTTGGGCCCCTCGAGGCCGCCTTGGAATCCTCCTGCAGCTCACTTGGCGCTCTCTTGGGCCGTCCAAGAACCCTCTAGTGGCCAGGTGGGGACCCTTGCAGGGCCATTTCGGGCCTCACGAGGCCGATCTTGGGATCGCCCTTGAAACCGAACAGGCCAACACAGAGTGCACACCAACGCTATGGGCAACCAATTGATGTGGCCTCTCAGGGGCCTCGTTGGAGCTCTCTGGCGCCGCTCCTGGAGCGCTTGGGGAGCCTCCTTGGCAGGCCTGGAGCCTTGCAAGGGCATGTTAGGTCGACTCAAGCCGCCCTCCAGGCATCCTGTGCAGCCTGGAGACGATCTTGGGCCGCGGGGGGGCGGGAGGGGCCGGGCGCCGTGTGGTCGGGGCCCCAGTCCAGGGGCCCCGGTCCCCCATGATGCTGTCGGGTCTCGGCCCGAGGGTCCCCGGCCCCAGCCCCATGCGGCACACAACTGTGTATATATATACACACACACATCTATAGATACACGCGTACACACCTGTGGCACGTGCGTGGCCGGGCACATACAAATTGAGCAGGGGGAGGTAAAACACGTTCGGGGTATTCGCAGAACTGCGCAACCGGCATGAGGCGCGCAAAATCACTACTTCACCTATGAGCTTATGGATGCGTTACGCACATGTCAGTGTGGTGAACAGGGAGACCTGAACAAAATGTGCGGTCACCAACTGCGTTGAACAAGTTTGTCTAGACCAATTGGACAGAGATTTGGCATGAAATAAACAAGTGCAAGGTGATACCCAAAAACAGTACTGATATGTTATAGCAAAACGTGTTGAACAACCGTTGGGTGTTTGGACCGTGACGTCGCAATCTGCGTGGGGGTGCATGAGATGATGAAGATTGCGAGGACCTCCAACGCAAATCTGTCACAAAAACAAGCGCGGACGCCGATCATCGCCTCTGAATGCTACTCCCTCGGATGCGATATCTACCACCGTGCCTGCACGGAGAGAGCGTGTCAGAATGCTCCTCTGTTGTCTGATACGGTTTTTGTGTGCTTTGTACGCCCCTTCCCCCTCGACGTACGCGTGTTTAGAACATCGGCCCCTCCGGATTTGCTCTCCGGCGCTCTTGCCGGCTTCGAGACTTTCCAAGAGGCTCCAAAGATGGCCTCCAAGACAACCGAGATGACACCAAGATGGCCCAATACAACATAAGAGTCTTCCAGGACCACCCAAGAGGGTTCCAAGAAGCTCTCCAAGCGAGCGAGGAGGCGGAACACAATGATGTTCCGTTGGTTTTTGAAAGAGTTTGAGATTCTATCTTGTTTGAGATTCCGACCGCCCAATATAGTTCCAAGGAGGCCCAGGAGGCCCAGGAGGCCCAGGAGTTCCAAGATAGTTCCAATATAGTTTGATTCCGACGGCCCAGGAGGCCTCCAATATAGTTCCAAGACAACATCTGAGGCTCAAAAAGGAGGCCCCAAGAGGACCCAAGATGACCCCAAGCCTGCCCAAGAGCCTCCCAAGAGGTTCCCAGGACAACCCTACAGTGCTCCAGTAGGGCACCAAGAGGGTCCAGAGCGGCACCCCAAGACGGCCTCCGAAGGCGTCTGACTGACCAAAAGCCACCTAAGGCAGCCCAAGAGGCCCCCAAGAGACACCCAACAGGCGCCAGAAGCCCCCCAGGAGGCCCCCAGAGAGCCCCTGAGAGGCCCCTGAGAGCCCCTCTCCTCCTCCTCCTCCTCCTCCTCCTCCTCCTCCTCCTCCTCCTCCTCCTCCGCCTCCTCCTCCTCCTCCTCCTCCTCCTCCTCCCTAACGCGCGGGCGAAAATTAGGACGGCTTCACGGCCCGCCTCAATTCAGGCCGCTCGCTGCACTGCAGCGGGGCGTGAACTCGACCTGCCCCTTACCGCGCAGACGAAGACGAGTTCGAGTTCGCGACCCGTCCAAATTCATACCAGTCGTCGGAGCTTCGCTGTTCCTGCACTCAATATCCTTCCTGTCCCGCTGTTGCACAATCACATTGGCGGGGTTTGCCGCAATCAGCTCAGTAGGATTTTGTGTATATATATATATATGTATATATATATATATATATATATATATATATATATATATATATATACATACATACAGATGTGATCTGTCCTGCCACCGTGCCCTGAGGCACGAGTTCAAATGTCCCCAGGTCCCTTAGAGTCCTCCGTCTTTGATCCTGGGGTTCCTTAAGGGGTTCACACCCAGGAGTTTCGGAATCTTGTCGGGAACCCCCTGGCGCTCTTTGGCGCGCCTGGGTCTTGTCGCGTGAACTCGTCGGAGCCAACGCGAGGGCCCAAATATGCCCCCGAGACGGTCCAAGAGCGCCCCGAGACGCCCAAAGATCGCCCCAAGACGGACCAGATGGCCTCCAGACGGCCAAAGGAGCCCTACAGGCCTCAAGAGAGCCTCAAGTGCTCCCCCCCCAAAGGCAACGAGAAACCACATTCATTGATCTTCCACGCGTTGATACTTTATTTTAGCGTTCTCGCTTTTCCGGCCTTCCGACAGCCCAAGAGGGCTACAAAAAGGCCCAAAGACTGCCCAAGAGGTCCCGAGGACTCCGCAGCATGCCCTCAAGACAGCCCAAGAGGCTCCTAAGCTGGCCCCAAGACAGACCCGAGGGGGAAAGCGAAGGGCCCCGGGGCCAAGATAGCCCCAGGGACCACCAAGAATCCAGCAAGAGGCCCCAAGGGCCCACCAAGCGGTCTCAAGAGGCACCCCAGAGGCCCCAAAGGCCCGAGAAAGGCCCCTACGAAGCCTCCCAAAGGCCCTCAAGATCCCAAGAGGCTCCCAAGAGTCATCAGAGAGAGAGAGAGAGAGAGACACCCCATGAGGCCCCCGAGAGGGCCTCTGACCCACAACCTGGGCACGTGAGATCGACGCCCGCTGGCATCAATCTGACTCAAACGATTCGACTTGCTTGCATCCCACGACTCTTTCGAGGGGCATCCCAAGAAACCCCGGCAGGCACTCGAGACACCCATGACCCACTACTCAGGCCCGGTGGCGGGATTGGCCAACGGCCACAAAAACTTAGTTCCCAAACAATGCTTTCGCTTAGGGATTCTTGCTCCTGTCTTACGGAATCGGGCCGTGTCTTCGGTCTGGCGGCTATGCTGGTGCCGTCGCCGCCCCGTCGCCGCACATAGACTGCTCGACATAGCTTGCACCACATATAGCGCACCACATGGATAGCACATCATAGTGCACAGCATGGGTTATATTGCACAGCGCACGTAGTGCAAGATATATTGCGCCACGTAGATCGCACAGCAAATATGGCAAAACGCGCCATACGTATTGCACATGATCGAATGCACCACATATATTGCAGCACCTATATCGCACCGCAAATCTTACACCATATAGATTGCGACAAACACATGGTTTGACTTCCACACTGGCTAACACACAGACGCACACACGCACGCACATGTATATACATATGTGTCCCTACATGTACACACACCACGGTCTATCATGAGTATGCTCGGTTCGCCAATCACGTTACCTGCCAGTATGGCCGAAACAGTTGCACTCCATATGCTGCTGCGGCGTGACGTTGCAGGCACGTCGCTGCACATGTACACCGAGAGGGGGGATGGGAAGCATTTGGTTAGGAAGGTCCTGGCCAGAGTGGCAGCCCTTGCGGATGGCAGACATCACTTTGCCTGACGGGTTCGGAAAAAAAGAGGGCCCAACATTTGTTCAATCATTCACTACACGGGCCCGATATACCGAGCCGTGCCTCTAGATGAACCAGATCCTTCCCTCGCCAAACCTGCCCCAGCCGCTCGCAAGTTCTCTAGCTCAATCAGTCCTTACTCCTCAACTTTCACCTTCAATTTCGCCTCCATACCATGTTTCTCTATCGCCCTGGCAATCCATGACGCACTGACATGTCTGATTGCACCCGTGGAGGTTACACTAATTTCCCGCCTAAGAAGCAATACGCTGAAGACACGCCACAAGCAACAGTGATGGCCATGGCAAGTGCAAATCATGTAGCCCCATGTAACTTTCAAACTCTAAAACGAGGATGCTGCCAAGAACTGGCCAATCAAACTCAGGGAGCCGATCGATGCCACCCTGAATCTGGAGAACGGGACAAGGTGCCTAGGCAGTGCAGAAAAAGTCTGGCTGACACAAGGTGGCACCATCAGAACACAAATCAAGAAATAATTCGGCATACGTTTGCTCCTCCATCATGTTTCGCCATAACCACTGGGATACACACCCACACGCACACGACCGAACATAAATATGGACGCATCTGCCATTCTCAACGCCTTGTCGATCTTGGATTGGCAACAACATTTTCTCGTCATCACCGACAGTATGCCCATGTCCCTGTCTGTTTGCATATATGGAAAAGGGGCGCCCCCCACCGTTCATGCCGGAGCCCAACACCTCGGTCGTTATTGTGTAGTCGTCTTCGATCCTCCTGTGTATGACATCTGCGCAAGCACATGTATTGTATCCGAACAGACTTTGGTTAGCACCGGTATGTAAGTGTGCTGAAGGATCTCGCAGCAGAACTACGCTTCAACTCACTCTGGGCAAACCTGTCAAGCGATGATGCTTGATCCACCTGCCGTCGTCGCTGTTGCGTTGTGGTTTGCGGCTACTTGGCTGCTTCATGGTGTTGCTCCATGTTGCTTGATGCTGCGTCTTGCTGGCTGCTGCTGCTTGCACCTGTGTGCCGCGTGCTGCTGCTCGGACCTTTCTTCAACTGCAAACCTCTCTGGGTTTCTCTTGGGGCATGCTACGCGTTTGTTCCAACCTCGTGGGATCTGCGAAGTTCTCGTAGCCTCGCGTCGCTTCGGGACCCTTTTGGCCCGTCTGGTTGTAGGCCTCCCCGGGCCTGTCCTTGCCTCTTGGAATCTCGTCGAGGCTTCCTGGGTCATCCTGGAGGCATCCTTGAGCCCTCGTCGGAACCTCTTTGCGCCCGCTTCGGCCATCCTGGGTACGCTTTGAGGCCGCAAGGCCGATTCCAGAAACTGTATCGGGCAGTATCGGGGGATATCTCGAAGGTGACGTGGGGGCCTCTTCGATGCTCTTGAACCGTCTGGGGGCGTCCTGACGAACTTGGGAAACTCTCTCCAGGCCTCCTAGACCTTCTGTAGTCCTGCTGGGCCTCCCTGGCACCCTTTTCGACTCCTCTTGGGCCGTCTTGCACGCCTCGTGGAGCCGTCCCAGCCTAAGTTCGGCACACCTCTCACACGGATCGTGGGGTGGGTCCCAGATACATCAAAATGAGGTCTCACCGCTCACGTCCCTATGCAATGCCCGCGTCAGCTCGGCACACCACTCGCGCGTATCGTGTTCAATTCGGAGCTCCAGCGATGGCCCCAGAGAGCGCATGCAGATGCTGCTCCCGCACAACCTCGGTATTTCCCTCAAGCGGATCGTGCCGCATAGGGTGCTCCAACGAAGCGTCTTCAACTATCCTGGACCGGCTGGCCGCAATTTACCCCCCCCACACAAACACACCCTGAAGGGATCCCACCCCACAGAGCGCGCTGAATTACGCGAGACTTTGAATATATATATATATATATATATATATATAGTGTCGCATTGGATGCCTAGTACGCCGTCGTGGGGCCTTCTCAGGGCGTCTCGAAAGAGACGCCGGAGGACATTGGAACCCAACTCTGTCGACGCCTCAATGTTAGGAAGATGTCTCCCCGTATGGGCGACGACCAGTGGAAACTGTAGGGGGAGAGGGGGATTGACGACACGACTATGTGTCAATTGCACTTGAAAGCTAACGTTCGGCGTGGGCCCAGAAGGCCTCAAGTAGCATCCAAATTGGCCCAAGACGGCTCGAAGACGGCCTAGGAGGCTTCCACGACGGCCCAATATGCCCCAAAGGGTAGCTCTAGAAGACCAGAGAATTGGAACGTCTTCGGATTCTCATGGTTTCGGCTATGTGACAGCTCGACACGGCCCAAGATGCCTCCACGATGGCCCGCCTCCCAGACTGTCAAAAAGGCCTCCATGAGGGGCCCATAACAACCGAAAAATGACCCAAGCTGGTCCAATGAGCCGTGGGAGGCTCCGAATACTGCCTCCGAAGACGCCATACGGCCCAAGAGCGCCCGAAAGCGGCTCAAAACAGCCCCAAGGTGGCACGAGAGAGCCTCCCAAGAAGAACCACAGGGCAAGAACACGCACTTTATGCAGCCCCATGGCGGACCATGGGTGTCCCTTCCCAACGTTCCCCTAGTATTTCATCCGGCAGCTCGGGTGATACGCTGTCCACCAACATTACGGTACTGACGCCGTCACTACACTACGCAGGGGTGGGGCGGTGAATTGCAGGACGCGCCTTCGATACACAGCAATCGACCGGCAACTTTAACACGCATCATAGTGTCTGCCAGCGTGAACCCCAAAGAGTAAGTTAGCGTAGTGCGAATGTGTAAGCTCAGTGATGCAAGCTACGTGGAGAAAGGTATGCGGCGCAACCTATGTCATGCAAGCTGTGTGGTGTAAGCTAGCTGTGTGGTGCAGGCTATGTGGTGTAATCCACATCGTGCCGACGTGAGCCGCGCGATGCTGTGGTGCAGGCTGTGGGGAGCTGTGTGGTGCACAGCTTTGCGGTGCAGGCCATGCGGTGCAAGCCACGTGGTGCAGGCTGCGCGGCCGCCCAGGGCACGGGGCGCCCACGAGGCGCCCACGGCGCCCACGAGGCGCCCACGAGGCGAACGCGGCGCCCACGAGGCGCCCGCGAGTCGCCCATGGGCGGCCACGGGCGGGCACCGGCCGCAGCCTGGAGGGACCGACCCAGCGCCGAAGGCGCCCACGAGGCTCCCACGGGCAGGCACCAAGCGAAACCTCGGCTGACCCAGCCAACCTCTTCCGGAACCGCAGTAGGAACGCTCAGGTGCAAGCACTCTCTAGCGACGTCGCACAACACAATAGGCCACGACGCCACGTAACCACGACGCCCAGACAATAGGAAACCACGGCGCAACGGCATCGCGACACACCGACACACCGAAACCACAGCACCAGAGCACACCACGACGCACGACGACGCTGGACGACACGCCACGACACACAGAGACGCACCACGACATACCACGCCACACCTGGACACACCACGACACACCACGACACACCACGACAGCGCAACACCAAGACACCCCACGGCACCCTACGACTCTCCACGACATCCCATGTCAACCGATGGCACCTGGTTGGGGTGGCTTGAAAAATATCTACACCCCACACCTCCAACATGCATACATGTTCCTTCTCTAAAGGGTTGATGCGTCCCGTTGTGCACGACAGGCTAGACCGAGTTGCACATAATGATTTGAAGTGTGGGCTAAAGCAGACGGCGCGAGATCCTGGTGCCACGGGAGGCAAAAAGGGAGGCAAACACAAGCTTGCAGGAACAGCGCCACGCCAGGCCAAAGTGTGGGGGGCACTGGACACACGCACATACACAAGCACACAGGCAGCCGTGGCACATCCCAACATGAAATACATGATAACGTCTGAAGGGCGTGGCATAGCCGCGTAAACACAATGAGCCACACGGTAAATGCACAAGGAAACCGAAGCAAGCTTCACAAAAGCGTGTGTAGAACTATCCTTGGGAGCTGGTGGTAGCGTGCGGAAAATGCAACGTGTCCAAGCTGCGCCTTGCGATTGAAACGGAACACACGGAGCATGAATAAGATGGGAGGACTACCCATGATCAAGCTGTTAAGCATAACACTCACATCACGTGCATACGCTGATATTCACACAAGGCGAATGCACCCGAGCGCAAAACTGCACAACTGCCAGGACACAACCTGCAAACGTGTGTAGCAATGCCTGTCTCGTTCGCACAGCTCCTTCCTTCTCTACTGGCGAGCTCCACGCGCACATCACAACATGCATGGCGCATGTTGCCACGAAGCGATGAATACATCACATGAGTGACACGGGGTAAAAAACATGCGACGCAACCAGAAAGACGGCGTGGCACAAACGTGTGAAACTCGCACCTCGTGCTCGACGATGGCGGTGAGTGCACTGACCAATCATCTTGTGAATCGCGTAATAATAATTAGGGCATTCTTGCGCAAACGCAGTTCAGTTGGAACGCGCGCGCCAGACAATTGAAAATTGCACCTGGGCAAACACAAACCAATTATACCCAGGAGTTGCACCCCAATGCGTGAAAGGTGTTGTTGCGTCACGTGCAGCTGTGCTCGCATCTTCCAGTCCCTGTTTGCTCTGGAGATTTGAAGTGCAGAGCTCGACGCAACAAGCGTTGCAGGAGCAGGGGCAATATCATGCAAGGAAAGAGGGAAAAGTCAACCGGCAGAACAAGGAGTAAGTACTTCGCTCAACACACGCACATCCAATCTGAGCAGGCATTCCTCAGGATGAACGTGTAGGCAATGTGCGCTAATGCGGCCCACTTCAGCACATATCAACCTATCTTGCCCCAACGCTCAACACAACACGTACTTCACCACGAGCCGGCATCTGATTTACCTGGATCGGTTGGCAAAGCGAGCCTCAGAGGAAGACATATTGTAATACACTGAGTGCGGAAAGTTTTTGCGTGACGCTGCCATGAGCTAGCAGGGCCTCGACAAGCGAAACCCGCGACTCAATTCCAAGAGTGCGTTGACGTTCAGAAATTCGCGGTCCCCCGACCTTCCCTCCCTCCTCTCTTCCACCCCTCCCCCTCTCCCCTTCCTCCTCCCCTCTCCATTTGCCTCCCTCTTACCCTACCCTTCCCATTCCCCTCCCCCTCCCTCCCTTCCCTCCTGACCCCCCCCGCAGCACCCCTTTCCCCTCGCCGTCCCTCGAACAGGAGGGGCAGGAGAAGAGACAGGACGGGGAGGAGGAGAACGAGGAAGGGGACAGGGGGTAACGGAGCAGGGCCAGGACGAGGGAAACAGGAGGCCGCATTCCTCCTCGCACCCCCTCCGTCTGCCCCTGCGCCCCTCCTTTCCCGGCTGGCGCCCCCTGGGTGGAGGGACCGCTGCCCCCTTCCCGACCCGGACCGCCTGCTCCCGCCCCCGCGGCTCGCACTGGCGCACCGCTCTGCGCCCCTCCTGCGCCCCCCGCGTGCCTCGAGGCGCCACACCGCATCCGCGAGGATGGTGTTGTGCTGGCGGCGGGCAGACGGGACGGGCCAGCGGCGGGGCGGGGCGAGGCGAGGCACCGCGGACTCCTCCTCCTCCTCCTCCTCCTCCTCCTCCTCCTCCTCCTCCTCCTCCTCCTCCTCCTCCTCCCCCTCCTCCTCCTGCTCCTCCTCCTCGTCCTCCTCTTCCTCCTCCTCCTCCTCCTCCTCCTCCTCCGTCCTCCACCTCACCCTTACCAGAGTTTCGACAGGAACAGCAGCGGGCATGGCGGCCAGGGAATGCGACCCAAGGAGCATCGTCCGGCGTGCTCCGCAAGATGTGCCTCCGCGTCGCGGCTGTGCGATGCTCCCCCGTTTTTCCACCAGAACCCGCACCCCTCAAGGTTGAGATGCGGGACCCCGGCTCGCGCGCTGAGGATACGCCCAGAAAAGTCCTCCTTGACGGCGCCCTCATATACTTAGCGGTTCCTCGCCGCAGTGGCAGGGAATGCTTGCGTTTTTGAATTGAGGCCCCCCTCCCACCCGGGGTTTGCACCGGGCCCCCCCACCGTGGGGCTCGCACCAGCTTCGCTCATAGAAAAGATCTTCCTGGTCAAACTGTGTTGTTGGGCCACTGGCTACAGCAGCAACGGCTCCCGCCCGATACTTCCGCACAGCGTATTCAAAACCAAGCTCTCGCTCGAAACATCCTCACAACTTACTCAGGAGTCGCGCTCTCGCCTCAAATCTCCTTGCAAGTTCATAAGGCGGTTCGCTCTCGACACCCAGGGGTCGAGCTGTCGCACAGGACGCACACCCGCAACGCCCGAAAAGTGTGTTTGTGCGCGGGAGTAGACGCGGTAGCTGCGTTTCGACCTTCTACGCCATGTCGCTGCGCGCAAGGCCGCGACGCCAAAAACGTATGTGTGCTTGTGTCTTTCCTTCTCTCTTCTGCATCAGGTGGTGCGAGCGCTCTCTTTCTATTGCCCGCGGCATGGACCATGAAATGCCGCCTTCGTTCAGTGAGCCTGGTATGGCGACCAAATGCCGCCCCACATCCGTTTTGCCCGTGCCTGTCCTTCTGTTTTTGCCTCGTGGAGTCTCCCCCCCCGCCTCCCCGCCCCCCTTTGCCCCTCTCCCCGTGGCCACATGATGCGAGCGCACCCTTTTCACGTGCGTGCTCGGCCCGTTTACAGAATGCTTGGGTCGGGTTCGTTCGCTTTACTTACAACGTGCATATCGGGGGCGTCCAAGAGGGGAGCGTCCAAGAGGGGGGGGTGCAAATCATGGCCGGCGGCACGTGCGCGGCCCACGGGGGGGGGCCAGGGACGTAATGAAACAAGAAGAGGCGCCATGATATCAGGCGAAATAGCATTGCCCACGCCATGATATCCACCCCTCCTTGTCATCACCCCCCTCTTTGCCGCCCCCGAACATACGTGTGTGTGTGTGTGTTCTTCCGCACGTGCTCTCCGGCCCTCCTCGTCCCTCTGTCCTTCCGTCGTCGTCGCCCCCCCCTCCTGGAGGTTCTGCCTCCCGTAAGGTGTCCGATGCTGCGACCGCTCTGCCGCCCCCGCTGTTGGGGGCGCCTCTCCCGTCCTCCTCGTCCCTCTGTGCTCCTGTCGTCGTCGCCCCCTTCTCGCCGCGCTGCCCCCCACCCCCCTTCCCGAGGTATATCCCCAGGCGCGGCCTCCCAAGGATGCCTGGACGGTCGTCGCTTTCCTTCCAGCGTGCGTGCGCGCGTGCTCTTCCGCGCGCTCTACCCCGTCCTCGTCCCTCTCGTCTCCCGTCGTCGTCGCCGCCCCCTCCCCGCGCTTCACCCCCCTCCTGGGGGCTCGGCCTCCCGTAGGATGTCTGCTGTTGCGAGCATTCTGCTCTGCCGCCCCCTCTGCGGGGGACTGCTCTCCCGTCCGCCTCGCCCCTCTTTTTCTCCTGTCGTCGTCCTCCCCTTCTCGCCGTGCTGCCCCCTCCTCCTCCTCCTCCTTCTCCTCCTCCTCTTCCTCCTCCTCCTCCTGTGATCATGTGATCCTCTGGCGCAGCAGTCCAACTCCCGAAGGCCGCACTACCCGCTGGTAAAAGGGCGAAGGTGGGGCCAAGGCCGAGGTGTGGAACAAGGGGCAGCCCGCCTGGCAAGAGCGACCCAGGCAGGGCGGCCGCGGGGCACTCACCTTCTGCCCCAGGACAGTCTGGCCCACGGGGCAAGGCTGGCCTCGGCCCTTGGGTCGGTCTGCGGGCACAACGGGCGAGGGCCGAAAAAAGTCAATCCACGGGAGCGGAAGCCTCCACACCTGCAGCACACTAGGACGGGAGGAGCCACACGGGTTAGAAGGCTAGGACTGCGGGCACTCATGGTGGGCCTCCGCCCTCATCGAAGATGTCTGCATCCTCTTTCCTCTCCTCCTCGTCCTGGTGCGATCGGGGCTGCACGAGATCGAACCGTCATCGCGCGCCGAGTTCCGAACGAACACGAACGGGATGGATAGGGAGTGTCCACCATCGAGGACTCCTTCAAAACCCTCGCCATCGAACTGAATCTCCACAGCATCGTTGAAAACGGAATCCGAGGCGGTGTCCGAGGCGGCGGCGGCCTTTACCGACTCAAGGGGCCGCCGAAGGGCCGCTGCGTCGGAGGTCGCAACCACAGGCGGCGGGCGGCGATGCCGTCCGCCTGGCCCCCTGCTGGCGCGGCACGGGCGCCTGTCGCCGCACTGCAGGCGGTTGAGGCTGCCCTTGCCCATGCGACGGATGGTGCGGACGGAGGCCGAGCGGCAATGCCCCGCCGCGCTGCGGCGCCGTGGCGCCGCACCGTGAGCGAGTCCTCGTCTCGGTGAGCACCGCCTAGACCACCGGCGCCATGAGGGCCAGGCGCTCGGTAGCCTTCGCGTAAAGGTCCGCCGCCGCCGCCCCCGGTCCAGGCTGGAGCTCCTCCCTGTAGCTCCATGGCCCGCACGGCCGACCGCAGGCACAGCAGCTCGGTCTCGAGCTGCTCCACGCGCCTCAGCGCCGCCGCCAAGCGCCCCGCCTCAGCCTCGCGGGCGGCGGTCCGCCTGGCGCAGCGTGGTGGCCGCATCGACGGCGAAGTGGCAGGCCGCTGTGCCGTCACAGGGGAAACTGTGCAGCCGACCGCAGCCATTGCCACGAGGAGCGCGCGCGCGCGGGGGAACGAGATCAAGCCGCTCTCTGTGCCCGCCGAGGCTGCGGGACTCTACAGGGAGAGACACGGCGCGCCCCGCCCGCCTCGCGCCCCAAACCCAAAGCAGGCATGAACCAAAATGGCTACGGACTCCTCCCCCTCGTCCTCCTCGTCCTCCTCCTTCTCCTTCTCCTCCTCCTCCTCCTCCTCCTCCTCCCTCTCCTCCTCCTCCTCCTCCTCCTCCTCCTCCTCCTCCTCCTCCTCCTCCTCCTCCTCCTCCTCCTCCTCCTCCTCCCCCCTCCTTCCCGAAGAGCATCCCGAGGCACGGCCTCCCGAGGATGTCTGGCCCTGCGAGCGCTCTGGTGCGGCCCCCTGCGGAGGTCGGCCTCGTTCGGCCGGCCTGTGGCCCCTCCTTCTCCCCTCTCGCCTCCCTCCTCGGCTGGCTCCTCCCTCCAACCTCCTCCTCCTCCTCCTCCTCCTCCTCCTCCTCCTCCTCCTCCTCCTCCCTCTCTCCCTCCTCCTAAACGTGCCTTGCTACGACCCTTTTGTGTGTGGTGTCTCCTTTTTTCCCCTCGGTTTCCTCTCCCGTCGGCCTGAGTCCCTCGCGTCTGTCCGTCTCCCCCCTCGGGTGTCCGCTTTCGCTCCTCGCTCCTCGCTCCTCGCTTCGCTCGGACCTCTCTTCCCTTGCCTTGCTGGCCCGGTGTCGTCCTTCTGGCCGGCCGTGGATTTTGGTCCGTTCAGCCCATTCTTATCGCGCGGACCCCTTCTCAGCCGACAGTGCACATGGCGTCCTGTGCCCTGGTTTCCGCAGCAAGGCCAGCCGATATCCTCTACCTTGCGCCTTTCTCTGGCGACACTGCGTGCGCGCGGGGCTCCAGCCGCGCGGGCGCCCGACGCCCTAGCGAGTCGCTGGGCCGCTACGACCGACAGGTGTGTATGTGCGGGCGTGCGTGTGTGAGTGCGTGTGTGTGTGAGTGTGAGTGTGAGTGTGAGTGTGAGTGTTGGTGTGGGTGTGGGTGTGGGTATGAGTGTGATTATGGGTGTGTGCGCATGAATGTGTGAGTGGGAGAGAGAGGGAGAGAGAGAGAGAGAGATAATGGGTGCGCGTGTGTGTGTGTGTGTGTATGTGTGTGTGAGAGAGAGAGAGCGTGAGTGTGACTGTGAACATGAATGTGAATGTGAATGCGAATGTGCATGTGAATGTGACAGAGAGAGAGAGAGAGAGAGAGAAAGAGAGAGCGTGATCCACCGCCGCTTTACTGTGGACAATTTCCCCCCCTCTTCCTTCGGAACCCGGGGTTCCCCCCCCCCCCCGCCCTCCGAACCCCCCCCCCCGCCGCACCCCCCCCCCCCCCCCCCTTCCCCCGGCAAACCCCCCCCCCTCCCCTAACCGACCCCCCCCTGCGGAAAACAGGGGGGGGTCACTACCGGTTCGACCCCCCCCCCCGCCGGAAAACTGGGGGGGGTCACTACCGGTTCGAACCCCTCCCCCCCCCTCGAAAACCAGAGGGGGTCACTACCGGTTTGAACCCCCCCCCTCGAGGCCCCCTTGACCGGGGGTCGGCAGACCGGGGGCCTGGGGCCTTGCATTATGCAGTTGTTTTGGGCGCGCAAGCGCCGACGCCCAAGGGCCCTGTCATGCGCCCAGCCCAGATGTTCAACATGATTTCCACACCGTACCCAATATCAAGGGCGGCTCGTGGCCGGACGAACCCACGCGTGCAAGAAACAGAAACTGCAATCAGGCCGGCTCCGTTCCGGAGGCCTTATTAAAAGGCATAAGAAGAAAGCTCACCCCAGGTCTGCCAACCCTGGGTCTGTGTTCCCACGACCCCCCCCCACCCCCCCGAAAACCGGGGGGGGGTCACTACCGGTTCGACCCCACCCCCCAACGCTCACCGCCAGCAAACGACTCCCGGGTCCCTACCACCGTCCGCACCACATCCCCCACTGCTGTCCCCAGCACCACTGTCCTCACCACCGCTGTCCCCACTGTTCCCACCACCGTCCCCACTGTCCCCACCATTGCCCCCACCACTGTCGCACTGTCCCCACTGTCCCCACCACTGTTCCCACCACGGTTCCACTCTCCCCACTTTCTCCACGGCCCCAACCACTGTCCCACTGTCCCCACTGTCCCACTGTCCCCGCCGCTGTCCCACTGAGCTGTCCGACTGTTCCCACAACTGTCCCCACTGTCCCCACCACTGTCCCCACTGTACCTCTGTCCCATTATCCCACCGCCGTTCTCGCCACCACCACTGTACCCTCCACTGTCCCACTGTTTCCACCACGTTCCCACTGTCCCCACACCACTGTCCCCACCACCACCGTCCCCACCACTGTCCCAGTATCCCCACTGTTCCCACCATTGTCCCCGCTGTCCCCACCAGTGCCCCCACCAAAGTCTCACTGTCCCCACTCTCCCCACCATTGTCCCACCACGGTCCCGCTCTCCCCACTTTCCCCACGGTCCCCACCATTGTCCCACTGTCCCCACCACTGTCCCACTGTCCCCGCCGCTGTCCCACTGTGCTGAGCTCCGTTTTGAAAAGGAAACGCCCCCCACCCGTGTGCAGGTTGCACAAATTTACCCTTCTGCCCCTTCAATATGAGGGAGTCCAAAACGAGATCCCAATGTTGCAATTGAAGTGCCCTGCATCCGAGCAGCTGTTAAACATGTTCAAGCTTATGTACATGATCAACCTGGAGAAATCCCAGCCGAATGCCAACGTTTTTTTCCGACAGCATGGGAGCAGCAATAGTACAATATGTTGCAAGTGTTTGAACCTATGTGCGCGGCGCTGCAGAGGAGAGCCCTGGTTTGAAAACGTACTCCGCCATCCTTGTAAATGTGCGCGGCGTCAAAACAAGAACTCTATGTTGCACACGTACCGCCTTACATCCTTGTAGATGTTGCGTCCCGGTATCTGTCGCAAAATGTTCATCGAATGCGTGCGCGCGCAACTAAGGCGAAGACCCCCTTTTGAAAAGGACCTGCCCTCAATCCTTCACGCTGCTGCGACATCTTAAGAAGAATGCTCGCGGCGCTAATGCGAGAGCCCGATTTCTGACAACGTAAAAGCCATCGGCCGCCATCCCTGACACGTGTGGTGGAGCGACAGGGGAATCATGTGTAAGGACGACAGGTGCAGGGGGAGCAGGAAGGACATGGAGGCAAGCCCGCTTCGGTGGTCGCGGCAGCGCAGCGGCCAAGAACGCGACAAGTCGAACTCGCGCCCGCCTGAAGCCAGTGTCTGCTCCTGCTGCTGCTCCTCCTCCTCCTTTGCCCGCTGTGACTGCTCTCACCCCATCTCCTACGTCTCATCGTCCTCCTCTTTTTGTCCATCCTTGTTCCTCCTTGGTTCTACTACTCTACATCTTTGTCTTCATGTACACGGTACCCCTCACGTACTCAGCTTCTCCGGAAACGGGAACGCATGTGCATGACAGACGGGGAAAACGAACTCAGCCAGTTCCAGAGAAATACTGGGCTCAAGGCTCAACACATGTCTCGCCCCATCTGAGGACAGTGCTCGAGGCGCGATACTGGGAGCGAGTAACAGTCGTAGCATCATTGGAGAGTGGCCTTCTTCGGATCGATGTGCACCATCTGGCAAGCGCGGCATGACGAAGCACAAGCATGAGTGCGTGTATGAGAATTTCGACGGCACTGAATGACATTCGTAAGCTGCAACACCTGGAGAAATCAACATGACAACTGCCTGCTGCAAATTAACAAGTGCCTACACGAAGGTCGCAATCACTCATGTCAGTCTGATCAAGAACTGAACAAGGCCGCGGCGACGACGAAGCAAATAACAGTCGTACACGTTGAAGGTTGCTCTTGCTTGCCAGCCAAAACCCTGGCTCGCTCCGGGGTGGCTCAGATTCCAAAATGCAGGCTCCAACTACCGCTCTTGCCAAAGGGGTGTAAAGCTTTGAGCTCCCACCGTGCTACCGGTGCCGCTAAGAAACTGCTTTACAGGAGCGAGATACACCACGGAAGAAGGAGCGTACTTGTAAAGACACGGCCACTCAAGCCGTGCGATTCCGCACGAGCTGATGATGCGATTGCGTCCCGCTGGACAAGTGGCACCCCTGCAGAATCCTGCGGGCAAGGCTGGCTGACTTTGGAATGCAACCTGAGGAATCCGTGAGAGATCCCCGTGGCGCCCGGCTGGCAGAGCACACACCTCAACGAAGAAACGTGGACTGAATCCTCCTGCCATGGCCCCCGAGGCTGCCCGAGGCACGCCTTGTTATCGAGCTTCGGCTTCGTCTTGTCTTGTTCCTTCAAGCTGCAGCACCTGAGACGACTCGCGAAAATACCAAACGAGAGAACGACTTTCACAAAGATGCGCCGGCACTGAGCCGCTTATCACCAAGAGATTATTGGTTGATCGGGGGCACATTATCTCCAGAATATGTGACTTAGCCTGTGATTCACGTGGTACGTCACCGATTCTCCATGACTCCCGTTGCAAACTCAGAAGAATGAAACTGCAACGAAAACATTGAAGAATGGTTTGGGCCTTCAGACTCCATTGCTCCGGTTGCATTTCCACGAGTCTTGAAATTGCAGCGGGAGCCATGAAGAACGGTTTGGGCCTCCAGATCCAAAGTTCTCCCCCCTTCTGTCGCCTGGTCTGAGAAGGCGAGGCAATTGAGTGCTTCTCTCCCTCTGTCCCCACTCCCCGCAAGGCCAACACCCAGTTTGAAGGAGCCTCAGGGGGGAGGGGCGGAGCCCGAAAACCACTTGGCTCCTACCCCCAAGCCACAAGATTGTCATTCCTGAAATGCCCTGAGAGATGGAAACTACTGCAGATTCGCGCTCCCACCAGTCCTCTTGTGATCTAACGAGACTTCTTCTCTATTCCAAAAATCCTCTTCCTTCCGGGGAGGGGTACCCTCCCCCCCGACCCTCAGGTTTTTGTTAGGATGGTCCGCGAGCGGTCAGATCGCCCAAGTTGACCCAAGATGGTTGCAAGATGGCCCCCGATGCTCCAAGATGGCACCCAACACGTCCCAGGATAGCCAAAGATGGTTCAAGAAGACGTCCGACATGCCTCCATGAGGCCCACAGAGGACCACAAGACGGCTCCAAGTGCTCTCGAAGCCCCCTCAGGAGTTCCACAAGAGGCCAATCTGTTCACAATTGGAAACTCAATTCAGTTTGCCTTCTCGCCGTTTCGGTCTTGAAGCCTCGAGATAGCAAAAAAGAACCCAAACATGGGCCACACGTTTTGTCATCATCAAACGCTATCGCCAAACAAGCTTCGCCTTGAAGTGCGCATTCAAAACACTGGTGGCGAGGGCAACATGGAAGACGCCATAAAAGGGGGGGCCACGATGTCCCCAAGACGGCCCCAAGGACGGCCAAAAGTCAAAAGTGCCCGAAGAGGGCCCCAGGATGGGATTCCGATGTCCCCAAGGGTGTGTAAGGGGGGGGCGGCCCCCAAGAGGCCCCGAAGGGGGTCCCAAGAGAGCCCCAAGACCCTCCCCGAAAAACCCAAAATGACCCCCCGAAACCTTCCAACGCAGCCACGGGAATGCCCCAAGAGGGCCACAAGGGAACCCCAAAAGGATCTTAAGAGGACCTCCGGTAGTAGACCCCAAAACGGCTGCCAGAGTCTTCGTCCTCCTCCTCCCCCTCTTCGCTCTGTCCCTCCTCGTCCTGCTATTCCTCCCCGTCCTCCTCCTCCTCGTCATCATTCTCGTCTTTGGTCTGGTCCTCGTCCTCCTTGTCGCCCTCGTCCTCGTCCTCGCTGTGTTCCTCCTCCTCTTCCTTCTCCTCCTCGGTTTCTTCCTCGTCATGGGTCTGATCCGGCTGCTCCAAACTTGTTGAACTGCGTACAGCATGTTTCTACACTGTCCTGGTCAAAGCGATTCGTCTAGGCATCGTTTCTGTATGGGCTGGTGGGGAATTGCGAAGCATGAAGAAGTACAACCACCCTCACCCCGAGGCCACAACCCCTCGCACAGCACGCCAGGCTCACACTGCCCAAAGTAACCACAATTCATAATACATTACGTCAGGCTCGCGCGTCCCAAGCCACACTGCCTCGTAAATTGCGCCGGGCTCGTGCCCCAAAATCCACAAACAATGCTCGATTACACCAGGCCCGTGCCCACACGCCACAACAGTGTAAAGTACACAAGAATCGCGATCCCACAACCACAACTCCTTGTACATTGCACCAGACTCGCGCCCCCCCCCAAAGCCACAACCCCTAGCGCGCTCAATCTTTCTCGCCCATCGAAGAAACCCAGCGGCAGAGAGAGGCGGCCAAGAGGGGAGGATGTCTGGATTGGTTCCTCGCCGAAGCTTACAGCTTGTCGAGACATGGTGGTGCTGCAGCTAGAAAAAGATTCGTAGGACTAAAAACTTCTGCGCGGGCACCAAGGGCGCAAGGACAGTAGTTCCTGCCCCCGTATAGTATCCTCCCACCCTACCCTAGCACAGGTTCTTAAACCGTGGTCGGTACTGTACAAATGCAAAGAACAGAGAGCAGGCGGGCGGTCCTGCAAGCGATGATGTGCATCCCCTGAAGCATTGGCCAACGGGGCGGCAGCACGAGTGTGACGCGCGAGCGTGCTGTCCATCCTCGCACCCTAGCATCGAGCAAGAGAAGGCGAAGCGCAATTATCTTTGCCTTGTCTGAACACTGAAAAACAAATTCTTCTCCTGCCAGAAAGCCGAGAAGTGAACAGCAAGGAGAACTGCACGATAACAAAAAACTCGCACGCTCGATAGGCGTAGGTGAGAACCTTGGCCGTTACCGCACTGCTGGGCAGTGCCGACAGAGAGTGGCTGCACGTGCAAATATGCCTGCGATGTCTCCCCTGAGACGTCGGACATCACATTGACTGAAAGGTCTTGGCACGCGAGCCTGCGGGCTATCTTCGCGTCCTCACATCAAGCTGCAACGCGATGGGACCGGAGGGCGAGGCGCAGTTATCCACATAGTGTTGCCAAAATGACTCCTGATCACCTGTCTCCTGATCTCCTGATCTCTGACAGAGAGCAGCGATGCATAGAGACGGCAACAAAATGACAGAAGAGAGAGCAGCAACGCAAGCGGCAACGGTGAATGTCCGTCACCGCCTGGCTGGCGGGCAGCATATGAGAAGAAACTCTGGGTCGCGCATGTGGCACGCTACGGGTGCGCCAGTAAGTCCGGCTGACCTCACGTGGACCCCTGGCCGCAAGCCCGTCTGGGCCGAACGTGCGAACGTATGTGCCGAGCTCCCTTCCGCCTCTCTGCAAAGCAGGGTCGCATCAGCTCTAGTGGCGCCCGTTCGTACTTCGAGCGCTTGTCAGCGCGGGCGGGGAGGGGCTCTCTCTCGCCGGCGGCCGCAGACAGCAAGAAAGACAATAACACATGCAGACAGTGAGGCTGCAGACGCACGCTGGTGGATGATCGGTGGAAGGGAGGCATGTACTTGGAGGGGGGCGGGGGGAAGAGGGAGGAGGGGTTCCTCGCTCCCCAACAAAACTCCCCTTTTCACAACTACATAGACGCACACTTACAAGTTGGAAATATTGCGGCCAAACAAAGTATCACCCCTCCATGGAGCAACCTGCCTAAGGAGCTCCTCTCGTGCGCGCCTGGCCTTCTCTAGTCGTCGCCTTCGGGTTTCGATTCGGTTCGCTTCGATGCGGGCGCGCGTCTCTGGTGACAACAGGACAGGGGTCGGCGGTGCATGCACTGGCGGTGGCTCCTCAAGGGGATCGACTGCGTCCGCCATGGCTTGCTCCTCGCCGGCCTCCTGTGGGCCCACTGGTCGCGGCTCCGCCTCTGGGTAAAACCTCCAACCTGCTGATCACTTGGCGGGGTCTTAGGTGGCAGAAACCGGTGACGTTCAGAATCGGCCCTATCACGGCCTCTCCGCAGCTTGGCCGAAACAAAATCTGGGGCCCACCCCTCGTCCAAACCCAGGTATGGGTCTCATCCAACGTGGAAGCGAATTAACTCAGCTCGGAGCTTTCCCTCATCCTCTTGCACGTCAAAAGGGAAAAGTAGAGTCGGCACACGTCACATACACGTGGTTGATACAGTCCACCGTCGCATCCGCCAAGATCCGACACAAAGCCTCTGGGTATGTCTTGTTATTGGCTGTGCGCCTTCTTTCCGTGCCCTGTCGAACCCCATGAGGACCTCATGAGGCCCGCGTCCGCGGGGGCACTTCCCGCGGCCTGGTGTCTCTAGGAATCGGTCTGATAGCGTCGCCATACGTAGTGCGACAATACGTGTCGGTGCTCGGGCCTGCTTGCCGCGTTCGCACTGATCGAAGTCGGTGGTAGATGCTGACGGGGCCGCCATCGCAGCCCGTAAAAGGTGCACATCGGAAGGAGCTGACTCCCGCTTGGCGCCAGCTGGCGGGGACTGGGTGCTCCATCCAACAGCATGTGCCTACCTGCATGTGAACCCCAAAAACCCTGAAAAGCTCGATCATGGCCCCGAGCAAATCGTTGCCCACCCGAAGTTGTTCCTGCTGTCTGGGGGTCACGGCCAGCAGTCCCCTGTAATCGTCGTGGGGCCTCAGGGGTGGGGGCCCCTTGTCCGGGGCCCATCGGATACCTGACCAGGTCTCGCATGGTGGCCTCCG